AATAATGATCCAAAATGCACTTTTTTAACCTGGATTTTTAAAAAAAGTAAAAAACCTTAGAAAAAGCTTTCACCGCACACTTGTTCACTGTGATGCCCTCTATTATTGTGCAAAGTCACATTCACTTTTACTGTGGAAATTCCTAGAAAATAGGGGTCAAAGTGTGCAATAATGATCCAAAATGCACTTTTTAACCTGGATTTTAAAAAAAAGTAAAAAACCTTAGAAAAAGCTTTCACTGCACACTTGTTCACTGTGATGCCCTCTTTTATTTTGCAAAGTCACATTCACTTTTACTGTGGAAATTCCAAGAAAATAGGGGTCAAAGTGTGCAAAAATGATCCAAAATGCACTTTTTAACCTGGATTTTAAAAAAAAAGTAAAAAACCTTAGAAAAAGCTTTCACTGCACACTTGTTCACTGTGATGCCCTCTATTATTGTGCAAAGTCACATTCACTTTTACTGTGGAAATTCCAAGAAAATAGGGGTCAAAGTGTGCAAAAATGATCCAAAATGCACTTTTTAACCTGGATTTAAAAAAAAAAGTAAAAAACCTTAGAAAAAGCTTTCACTGCACACTTGTTCACTGTGAAGCCCTTTATTATTGTGCAAAGTCACATTCACTTTTACTGTGGAAATTCCTAGAAAATAGGGGTCAAAGTGTGCAATAATGATCCAAAATGCACTTTTTAATCTGGATTTTAAAAAAAAAGTAAAAAACCTTAGAAAAAGCTTTCACTGCACACTTGTTCACTGTGATGCCCTCTATTATTGTGCAAAGTCACATTCACGTTTACTGTGGAAATTCCTAGAAAATAGGGGTCAAAGTGTGCAATAATGATCCAAAATGCACTTTTTAACCTGGATTTTTAAAAAAAGTAAAAAAACCTTAGAAAAAGCTTTCACTGCACACTTGTTCACTGTGATGCCCTCTACTATTGTGCAAAGTCACATTAACTTTTACGGTGGAAATTCCTAGAAAATAGGGGTCAAAGTGTGCAATAATGATCCAAAATGCACTTTTTAACCTGGATTTTAAAAAAAAGTAAAAAACCTTAGAAAAAGCTTTCACTGCACACTTGTTCACTGTGATGCCCTCTACTATTGTGCAAAGTCACATTCACTTTTACTGTGGAAATTCCAAGAAAATAGGGGTCAAAGTGTGCAATAATGATCCAAAATGCACTTTTTAACCTGGATTTTTAAAAAAAGTAAAAAACCTTAGAAAAAGCTTTCACTGCACACTTGTTCACTGTGATGCCCTCTTTTATTGTGCAAAGTCACATTCACTTTTACTGTGGAAATTCCAAGAAAATAGGGGTCAAAGTGTGCAATAATGATCCAAAATGCACTTTTTAACCTGGATTTTTAAAAAAAGTAAAAAAACCTTAGAAAAAGCTTTCACTGCACACTTGTTCACTGTAATGCCCTCTACTATTGTGCAATGTAAACATTAGTTGATAAGTAAAATGAGAATGTTAGGGTGGTAATACATAGTTCCCACATGACGTCACTACATACGGGGATTTGCCGACCCGGCGACATTTGTGTTGGCATGCTGTGGGCAAAACAATAGAAAAAGAAGCTGAAACGTGTTAATGTCGTGATAAAGTTGAAAATGGTCATCTCCTGCTGGGTCAATGGATGTTCAAATCGTGCCGGAGGTTCCGTTAAACTTGGATTTTACAGTATACCCATCATTAGACTTCATGAATGTGAGAAGACTAAGCTTTTGTCAGAACAACCACGGAGGTTATGGCTTGCGAAGATAAACAGGCAAGAAACTCCCTCAAAACACGCAAGAATATGCTCGGAGCACTTTGTGTCAGGTGCGTATTGTATCTTATAATGTGTTGACAGACGTAATTTACTCAGTACTAACTTGTGTATGCTGATAGCTGGTAACTTGAGAGTTTCATTATTTAGCGTTAGATTAGTTTATTATGAGGAGGATTGGTGTCGCGTCCGAGGCTCTCGAGGGCAACGTAAATGTATTAAATAGATAATAATAGTTCTATGGTGGGCTAAAACAATGTTCACAAACAGCATTGCTTCTGTAAAAAGATCTGTGTCATAAAATAAACTGCTCTTTACGCCTGGAAAAATCAGTTGCCCACCATTCACCAAAACATACGGTCAAAAACGCGGAAATAAACAATAACAGCAATCCAGAGTGTCCGTGTGGCATTAGCATTAATTAAATTAATTGTTAATATAATTAAAATAATTAAATGGAGCTCCAACTGGTATTAAATCTAAAGTTTTTGAGAAATGTTTGCATTGCTTGTTAATTTTTGCTGCATAATTTGATCAAATATGTAAAACATGTCCGTAGCACGTTAAACTGTGGTGCCATTGTATTAATATACAATTATTTGCTCAAAAGTTGCCCTTTTTTTCCAATTTGCGTTTGAATATCTACATTTATTCTCATTCTTCTGTTTAATGGAATGCACAAACACAGCAGCGTGCCATCAAAGATGGCGTCTCCGAGGAGGTCATGTGACATTCATTGGTCTGTGGGAACTATGTATAGCTTATAACTTATGAATGTTCTATGTTTATTTATGTCATTTTTTGCATATAAACTAAAACTAAAAATGCAAAAAGATTTGCCCAATGCCTATATAGTCTGTCTGTACTATAGGAACATAAAGTATTAAAGTGATCGTCCGCAGTTTGTCAGAAAAAGAGAGAGAGAGGTACTTGATTTGAAAGAAACGACGCAAGCTCCCTCCCCCTTCCTTTCTGATTGGTCTACGCTCGCGTTTCCTTAACACTTATAAATGTTAATTAGAGAACACATTATACATATACATCATTAATACACATGCACGGAGGATTTCAGAATGATTTGTTAGCGTTTTAATGAAAAAAATAAATAAATTATGTACAAAAGAAGAGGTCGCGGCAAACCCGGGACAAGCTATTATCATGAATTGAACATTATAGGACACATCTGCAGAGGACCTGATTATGGATATAGGTTCAGTATATATCTGATTATGGATATAGGTTCAGTATATATATGACTATGGATATAGGTTCAGTATATATATGATTATGGATATAGGTTCAGTATATATATGGGTACCTCAGCGCGGATGTTCAGAATTCTTTTTTCAGTTTTCTTGTAGTTCCAGAGCCTAAAGGCTTGATTCGGAGGCTCCGCGAAAACAAACAACTGAGCATGAGCAGCTACGAGCATCAGCGCAGATGATTGACAGCTCTTGGCATGACTCGATTGGTTAACCTCGATGGCATCGTGGATTCTGAGCTATAGCTAAGAGAAGGGAAGGTGGGACTTGCCCGTAAAATTAGAAATAATAAAATGACTTATTTCATATCAACATTTAAGGCCAGGAAGTCAATTTAACACAGTTCCTAAAATGTGTAATTCATTTAGAGTTGCATACTATCACTTTAAGACCCAGTCGTCAATTGAAAAAAAATGAAAGGAGCGACTTGGAAGTCCATCGTAATATCAAATTCACCCAAATAAATGTGTGCAGGATTCTTTCAGATCTTTTGGCACAGTTGAAGGGTCATCAATTCTGGACTATTCATAGAAAACTAAGAAATGCATTATTCATCATTTTTCAAAATACTCATGTATTTTGTATTCATTTTTCCTTTTTTCCAGATACAATGCAGCATGTGCCAAAAATGGTACCATGAGGAGTGCTTGGCCTTAAACCCATGTGAGCGGAAAAAAGCAAAACAGCCAGAAACGTTATGGCATTGCTGCCTGTGTCCAAAAAAATCATTGAGATAACCTGGCATCTCAACCTTTTGATGCATGTTTTTTATTTTCTTACGGTCACGGTTACTGGTTTCTCAAATCCGTTCATAAAAAAAGATTGGACACGAATATTGGTGTTTTTTTTTTTTTTCTGAGAGTGTACAGTGAAAGTTTAGAATATTTCTTTTCAGAGTAGTAGAGGACATCACAGTGAACAAGTGTGCAGTGAAAGCTTTTTCTAAGGTATTTTACTTTTTTTAAGAATCCAGGTTAAAAAGTGCATTTTGGATCATTATTGCACACTTTGACCCCCATTTTCTTGGAATTTCCAATGTAAAAGTGAATGTGACTTTGCACAATAGTAGAGGGCATCACAGTGAACAAGTGTGCAGTGAAAGCTTTTTCTAAGGTTTTTTACTTTTTTTTAAAATCCAGGTTAAAAAGTGCATTTTGGATCATTTTTAAACACTTTGACCCCTATTTTCTTGGAATTTCCACAGTAAAAGTGAATGTGACTTTGCACAATAGTAGAGGGCATCACAGTGAACAAGTGTGCAGTGAAAGCTTTTTCTAAGGTTTTTTACTTTTTTTTAAAATCCAGGTTAAAAAGTGCATTTTGGATCATTATTGCACACTTTGACCCCCCTTTTCTTGGAATTTCTACAGTAAAAGTGAATGTGACTTTGCACAATAGTAGAGGGCATCACAGTGAACAAGTGTGCAGTGAAAGCTTTTTCTAAGGTTTTTTATTTAAAAAAAATATAAACATGTTAAAAAATGCATTGTGGCGGCTGATCCTCGCGGCTTCTCTTTTCTGTGTTACCGTAAGTAACAGCATAAAGCGGCAACCCGCTAGAAATGTGCGGGCCTCTTTACTGTTGACTCCGAAAAGCCGGACCTCTTTACCGCGGTCGTGGAAGGGGGCGCCATTTCTCCATGAATCTATGCATTTCTCTCACTTTGATGACGTTCTTAAATATTATCAATTTTTGTTATTATTATTACTACTACTATGATAACTATTATTATTATTATTATCATTCCATTATTTATTAGGATACATGTGGCCTCTCGAAAATAGAATAGTTTTCGAGTTCAGATCCAGCACGTCACTCACGCACTCCCCTATTTCTTCTTAAGAGTATAATATGAACCATCAGGCTGCCATTTAAGAAGCTGACGACCACACCCCCTGACGCACCGCAGGCTGCACGCTGTTGGAGACGGTGCATCCAGTGATAGTTCGGACTCTTGGCCATGGCGCGCTGTGTTTTGTGCGCTTTCCTACTGCTTGGTTTAACAGTGAGTGCGGATATCATCAGGTAAACACATCAGGACTCTCGCGTGCTTCTGGGTGCACGAGGATTACAGTCTTGTGCGCAACTTCGTGCCAAGTCGCGGAAGTTGTCTGACTTGTGTGTATTTCAGGGTTCCTCTTCATAAAACCAGAAGCGCACGGCGTCTTTTGGTCGACGATGGCAGGTCTCTGGAGGAGCTGCGTGCCCTGGCACAGTCCTCACAGGACGTGCCACCTGCGCCAAGTCTGCCCGTGGAGAGGCTGACCAACTTTATGGATGTATGTCTTTTTAACTCTATTCTCTGTTCCTGAACCCATGGCCCATCATTCTAAAACATGTATTTCAAATAAATAATCCGAGTGCATCATTGATGTGTTCAAAGGCTCAATACTTTGGATCCATCAGCATTGGAAGCCCTCCCCAAGAGTTTACTGTGCTGTTTGACACAGGCTCATCAAACCTCTGGATTCCCTCTATCCACTGCTCCTTTTTTGATGTGGCCTGCTGTAAGTTCCATTTGAAGTTCTTACAGTTACAGTGGGTCAGCCAGTCAACCACTGCTGCCCATTGGAGGTTGATATGGGCAGCTCTGGCAAATTTGCATATGGAGCATATTTTAATACCACTATTCTTTCATAGGGTTCCATCATCGATACAACGCCAAAAAGTCGAGCACCTACGTTGTGAATGGTACACAATTCTCTATTCGATATGGCAGAGGCAGCTTGTCTGGCTTTATCAGCGAAGACACAGTCTCTGTGAGTTTAGTTATCGGTCACATTCCGTTTTTTCACAAAGGCCTTTGTCGAGTTGCATTCCTTTTTTAATGATAGCCTCGTGCTCACTGCGTGCACCTCTAGGTGGCTGGCTTGCTTGTGCCTAAACAACAGTTTGGAGAAGCAGTCAAACAACCCGGCATCACATTTGCAGTGGCTCGCTTTGATGGCATCCTGGGCATGGCTTATCCTTCTATATCTGTGGCCAAAGTCACACCAGTGTTTGACTCTGCTATGGCTGCGAAGTCACTACCACAGAATGTTTTCTCATTTTACATTAGCAGGTTTGTGTTGATTTTTTTATATATATAATATATATATATATATATATATAATATATATATATATGTACAATAGTCAGCTTTGTTTCTAATGCAATTCCCGTATGCAGAGATCCTCAGGCTGCTGTTGGAGGTGAGCTCATCCTGGGAGGAACTGACCCACAACATTACACTGGAGAGCTGCACTATGTTAACGTCACTCGAAAAGCTTATTGGCAGATTCAAATGTCCGGGTAATGTGTTGTTCTTTCATAGTGAATGCAATAATATGGGAATAATGCTATATACACTCACACTCTTCATTGTATTCATCATTGTACAGAATTAGTATTGGCAACCAACTGACTCTTTGCAAAGTTGGATGTCAGGCTATTGTTGACACAGGAACATCTCTGATTGTGGGCCCTAGCGCAGAGGTCAGGGCTCTGCATAAAGCCATAGGAGCAGTGCCTTTGATCATGGGAGAGGTAACATTATTTACACTGCAACATAATATACAGCGAATATATTCCAACTGTACATTGTTCCCCAACAGTACATAATTGACTGTAAAAAAGTCCCTGACCTGCCAGTAGTAACTTTCAACATAGGTGGGATTATGTACAACCTGACTGGAAATGATTATGTCATGAAGGTCGGTATATATTTTACATTAATGAAGTTGTATTGAACATTTACTATTGTGTACCAGTCACTAACTTATGGTTCAATTGAATGCATCCTTGGTTTAAAACAGGAATCTCAGAAGGGAGTGTCCATCTGTCTGTCTGGGTTCATGGCCATGGACATCCCTCCTCCTGCAGGCCCACTGTGGATCCTCGGAGATGTGTTTATTGGGAAGTACTACACTGTGTTTGACAGGAGCAGTGATCGGGTGGGATTTGCCCTCGCCAAGTGACGTCCTCCTCTATTGTGTCATGTACTTCTGAATGTTAATCACCATTTCCTCTAGTCAAGGATTTTCAATGTAATGCATCATTTACAGGACCAAGTTAAGGGCCATGTTAAAGGATTTATTTTCCTAAGACAGCATTTTTGCAAAGAAAATTCAATGAGCATAGTTGTTTGCAACATTTAATTGTGGTGCACCATAGATGAGTAGGACTGCATGCAACAGAGTACAGACCTGAGGAACATTTAATGTGGCACAGTGCCCATGATTGACAGTAAGCAGCTTTAAGGACAAAAATAAACCTTTGGTTTAAATATTCACAATACTTTTGGATGATCAACTGAAACTTTGACAAATAGCTTTTTGCACTTCCCATGGCCAAGCAGATGTCTTACAAAATATTGGGTTGAAGACCTTCTTTTGTTTGGCTTGATATAACTATGAAAAACTATTAAAAATCTGAATGAGTTACACAACAAAGACCAGCACGTTTGATATTAGCCATTTAAAGGCAGAAACTACTGAGACTTGAAACTAGAGCCCCCTGCTGGTGGTTATTGAAGGTAAATGTGAAACTTCTATGACAGTGCTGATAGATTCCACACCTTTCCCTCAAAACCAGGCTTTGCACTTTGTTTACTTTATGCTACATGTTCTGCTCCCACCAGAACAGAGCAATTCCTGAATATCAAGCCTCCTAATAAAATTGACTTCTTTCACAAATGGTGCCTTCTGATTCAGTTTAGAAATGAAGGATAGAATTAAGTCATAACTATAGTAAGCTGTACATTAGCATTGTTCAAATGTATCCAACAAGCAAATGGTCAAGCTTTAAATATTGAAATCATGGATTTTGAAAAAACAAGAATTTCAAGAATTCTATGCTTTGTTCTATCCCTGAAATAAGCTAAAATTTAATTGTAATACTTGTATAACAGTTTGTGAGACAGTCAAACTCTGTAAAACAAGATTTTAATAGGAAAATAATATCTACTTGGGTTGTATAAAGTTTAACCCTGTGTTGCATCCATGTTATTTCAACTGGGTCATTATAAATGAGCGCACATGTCCTTGTCAGAGATGTCTCATGCATATTCCAGGCCACACACCTGATGCAAATGTGATGTCAGGGAGGGGCTTGCAGGGAAGTTCTCAAAAGCTCCTCTGGGTCTGAAAGAGCACAATAAAGTGTATATCCCAGTTCATCCACCTCTGATTCAGTCAGTTCACAGAATAAATTTACTTTCAGATTTAGGGCACAAGGCAGTCGCCCAGCTTCTAAGTGTCCTACTAAAGCTCGCAGCAGCTGGAGAAAGCGATCAGCGAGTGCCTCCACAGTCCAGTCCCCTTCTTTCTCACTTAACAGTAAAATGGCATTGGTGAGCTGGCTGGCATTGAGACGACTCAGTGCAGGGTTAAGTTTGCACACTGCCTTGGCTGCCTTCAAACAGATATGACGACAGCCTCCATCTTCCTGGTCCAAAGCTCTGAGCCGAGCAGTCTCTGCCACACGGAAACTCTGACGCCACAAGTTCTCATGGCGCTCTGCAGCCAGCCGGTGGGGCTTAGCAATGAGTGATGTTCCATCTTCCATCACCAGTAATGGGAGGAAATCCACATAGAGTTTTCGATCTGCTTCATACTGCACCTCCAAGGTGAGCGTTTCAGAGGGAACTACTGGATGGATGACATAATCAAGGACACTTCCTATGGCAGGCCAGTTGATGGAACCAGCCACAAGCTTATCAAACACCTCCAGGACTGATTTAGGCGAGAGGTACCCACCCACCATACAGCGGTCCCAATAACTACTGTTTCGAGGGAAATATTCCAAGTTTTCCCTCCGGACAAGCCAGAAACCTGGGACATTCATAATGGTGTCTTCACCTGGGATTGAGGACCACAGATTCTTCTCCAAGACAAGAGGCACCATCAGCTGAGCATGATCAGCTGTTACAACCTAGAGGAACAAGGAAAACAGATTACATTTAGTTGGAGTATTTCCCAAGTACATTACTAGTGTCTGTACCTGCAGGTCGTCATACAGGCTGCCACTGAGGTACATCTCTCTCAGTGGCATATCAGGCAACTTGGCTTGAAGAAACACTCTGAGCTCCGCGCAGATGTCAAGAGCCGCTCTCTTGGCTGTAGCTTGCTCCTCACAGGGGATACTCACTGATCTTTGGTAGAATTCCCAAAGACGCTCTTGTAGTGAAAGGCGCATCCGTGCTCGAAGTAGATCTGCCTCAGTGGTCCCAGGCGCACCCATTGTAGCCCGACCAACTGCTCTTCGCAGACAGTCTTAAGAAATGAATTACAATTATTTGAATTTATGTAAATAAATGCTATGGTTTCCAACTTGTATAACAGTTGGTAACCACAAGTGAACACTAACTATTCTACAACTGGGAAAGACTTTTACTTCTTCTCTACAACTCTGAAATTTAGAATATTGTTAAAAAGTTACTTTAGTTATGTAACACAACCTAATGTGAAACTAATATATGAAGTGAGATATATCAAGCCATTCTGTGTTATAATGTTGATACCTGGCTCAAAGCTTGTAAAACCCCAAACAGAACTGATTATTTTGTAAACTGACTCCAAGCCATAATCATCAAAATAAAACACAAAGGCTAGGCATATGTTCACCTGTATGTAGTTCACTGCCAACAAACTACGAGACAAAAACACAGCAAAGAAATCTACTTTTAACCACACAACACCCACTGTAAAGAAATAACAAGAATCCTCCAAACAGGCGGTCTGTTAACATATTGTAAATCACATGTTAATTTATTTAAAAAACTGATAAAGTAATCAACAGAGGGAATATTACATGGATCTTTACCTGGCTGAAAAGAATGTGCAGATGTCGGCAGAGACTGTAAGGAGCGGCTCACTGTGGCCTTCATGTCATGGTTTAAGACTCGAGGTGAAGAACCCATCCAGGCTGGCTCCTCCCAACTCCTCTTTCCTGTTTTTTCCATCTTTGTAGGACTCGTGGGAACACTAGCACGATCATACATCTGTAGAACACAGAAAGTTAGAAAACAATCTTCAACTTGTCCTTAAAGATTAAATGTTAAAATCACTCACTCTTTTGACGGCAAGTGTGGCAATACCAAGCATGGCCGCTCCTCCCACACCAAGCACAAGTTTAGCATTAGAAAGCATAAAATCAATGGCTGTTCCAATGCCATTGTCATCTTTCTTGCCTTTACTGGTTCCATTCACACCTGCCATAGTGACACTGAGAAAAGACATTGCATAAGATCCGAAATCACACAAAAACTGCCAAGTAATCTGAGGTTTTCATTTCCTCACCTGGGAGCTGAACTTCCAGAAAACTTGAAGCGTCTTTCGCTCTACATAAGGCCTCCTAGTTTGCTGTTCAGGAAGAACTGCCCCCTCTTCAGAGCATCCTCCTTCTCTTGGGCCCCACTTAAAGACTGGCAGCGGCGGAACTCCCGGGTAACGGCACGGCGGTAGTAGTTGCGGTCGGTGTGCTGGAGATGACGCCCTGCCCGGAGGAGCGCTCGGTACAGCTCCAACACTGCACTACGTGACCAGCCACCCATCAGGGATCACACATGGGGAGAGGAGCACCCTGCCGCAGACACGTCAGACACATTTGCTACAGTGTGTAGTTAGCTCATAGTATGTTTACGAATCCCAATGACACCATAGTACACATGCTAGCCTCGTTGGTGTCTCAGTGCTGCTGAATGCATGACCACTGCCCTGGTTATAGATATATTACATATATATTACATCTCTATCTCACGTATCTCTGGCCAATGAAGTGTCACATTTCTGACTTGGCGTCACACTTGGCGTTAGCGTTCGCTAAGTAGCTTGGCTAAGCGAGAACTGACCTTTATAAGCTATTTGTGACAATCTCCAACCCGATCACGTAAATAATGTATATATATTTTGACACGTATCAAGAGGAGTGTGGCTCCCACATCAGCACAATAATACCTACAATTCAGGGACGAAGATAAAAGGAGAAAGAGGAGCAGCTCTGACAGTTCTGGCTGGAGACGAGGGTCAGAGACGCGACTCATGCGGAAACACACACGCGCTGGGATTACAACATCCGGGTTACAAGTACTTTTTGTTTATTTGTTAGTTTGATTCTTTATTCTAGGAAATACACATTTTCACTTGATTTTCACTTGTGGATTTTGATTTTGATGACATAAACCTAATCTATCTGTGACCCCAGTCAGATACATGGGCTGTAGAGGTCTATGGTCAGGTCCAAAATCCAAAAAGGAGCAGTATCAGTGGGGGCGGGTCCCAGCTCAAAAGTGGCCAAAATGTTGTGCGCTGACATGCTTGCAATACCACCCCGGGCCGATGGGGGTGGACCCAGAAGTAGAAATAGCCAATGCTAACATATAGCATTGGCAGACCTCTTGAAAACGTCTTTACAGGATGGACCAAAAGTTGGCTCTTGGCCCAAAGCTCCGTTCCACATGTGTGTCAATGCTGAGGGGGGTGAATTTTTTTGGTCCACTCTAGTTTACTTGCTGTGAATTGCTTGCTTGCTCTCGTTCAAATGAATGGAGCTGCGCCGGCTGACACATGCGCAGATGCATTTTCTCACACTTTTCTTGTGGGCGGAACCCAAGCCCCGGCGATTCAAGATGGCGCCCTATTCAAATGAATGGTTGTGCTCAGTGGCGCTTTGTGACTGTCACTCCCGGATTCGTCCCGGAAACCGGATTTGTCCGGAAGTTCAGTTTGCGCATGTCAAAAAGTTTAATATGTCCTTAAGTGGTGACTGGTTAAGTTTAGGCGTCTGATTAAGATGGTTAAGTTTAGGGTTAAGGCTGGGTTGGGGTTATTTTATGGGAATGGCTGGTTAAGTTTAGGCATGAATAGGTAGTTTTTCATATTTACTTCCGCTTCCGTCCAGATTCCGTGACGTAATCTACTGCTGCCTGTGCTCATTGGATCAAACTGAACTTCCGGACGATTCCGGTTTCCGGGACGAATACGGGAGTGACAGTGACAGCATGGGGGCTGAAAAGATTAGCGGAAGTTGCCTGAAACTCGCAAAGATCTATGGGAAACTCGCCTGTATTTGGGCATCGTCTGGTCCTCCCGGTTCTGCGCAGTGGATGATCTCCCATAATGCGTTGCGCCAAACACGCGTGTGTGGGTCTCACACCGGGTCTCACGCACGTGCACAGAGGGGCTCGGCCGCGCTCTGACCAATCAGAGCAGTTCATCAGAGCGGGAGTTAGAGCGAGAGCCAGACGAGCAGAGTTTGTGGCACTAAAGTGTGGATTTAAACAAAACCGAAGGATTTAAGAAGAAAAAAAGTTCAGGATGACAAGGGACACTAAAATCCCCACAAAATCCTATCTTTATTAAAGCTGTAGGTTCTCTGTCAGCTGAGGTCGAGCTGTTTTAATATGCATTGAGTCCTATGGGGAAAATTTCTGGGTAGCCCACGTGAATTTAGTCTGGTTCAGTCTGCAGTACCGCGAGAATCCCCCGAGCACATGAGTTATTCAGCTACAAGCTAGTAATACCCTATCCAGTTAATATAATACATCCATGGCGGAACCACTCGCGGCCATTTTGGATGGCTCCAGTAGAGCACATTTTTTGGCCCATTAGTTAGAACGGCGGAGATAGGCGTGGCTCTGTCCGTTAATATCAAGCCCCGGCGATCCAAGATGGCGCCCTATTCAAATGAATGGTTGTGCTCAGTGGCGCTTTGTGACAGCATGGGGGCTGAAAGATTAGCGGAAGTTGCCTGAAACTCGCCTGAATTTAGTCTGGTTCAGTCTGCAGTACCGCGAGAATCCCCTGAGCACATGAGTTATTCAGCTACAAGCTAGTAATACCCTATCCAGTTATTATAATAGATCCATGGTTAATATATACAGTCTATGAGCAGTATGTAAAAATCTGGCCAAAAGTGGTACTGCACTCTCCCTGACTCACGTTGCCAGATATGCAGACTGTCACTCCCGTATTCGTCCCGGAAACCAGATTTGTCCGGAAGTTCAGTTTGCGCATGTCAAAAAGTGTAATAAGTCCTTAAGAGCTGACTGGTTAAGTTTTAGGTGTCTAATGTTGTATTAAATATAGGCTAAAAGGCGATGTGAATTAGATTGACCTGAAATTGAACTCTGTCTGTCTCCAAGCAAAAAGAAAGACCTTGTATTGCCCAACTCCCCTTGTCCCATTTTGTCCAAAGTGCATGGGTGAGTTAATGATAGTTAATCTGGGGGGATTCTGCTAATCCTTTCAAGTTGTGAAAGAAGGAGATGGAGTCCAGAATCTGGAGGAGAAGCCTTGAGATCCCTCTGCCTTATCTCAAAGGAACTAATAAATCGATAGAATTAGGGAGGGGTAGTGCGTGAATGATTTCTGTTTAGGTCTGGCGAGACGGAGAAGACCTGATGGAGGCCGGACCCTGGACCAAGAGCTGACTGATACGACACGCCCCCTTCTTCCCCTTGCACATTTACTTAATGAATAGCTTGAATGTGTGTGTTAGTTTTTTTCAGACCGGACCAGGGACAGGAGTGTGATTTGCGTGGAGCGCCCACCAAAATCATACTTTTATATTTTATATAGAGAATAAGGGATAGTTACTTTTGGTCCGAACAGCTGTTTTAGATTCTTTTTGTATTAGGGAAATAAACCTTTTTGAATTTAACTTTCTGAATCATGGTCATCTTTATAAGGGATTTTGAACACGTCATTTTTTAATATAATAATTGGTGACCCTCGACGTGATCCCTTTGATGACTTTTCGCCTTCCCTTGGACTCTGCGTCTCTCCTCAAAGCGGCCGCTGAACTGAAGGTAAGCAGATACCTTTTGACTAATTAAAAATCTGCATATTGGACTACACAAATTAAGGGGAGAGAAGTTTTGTCCACGGAGGAGCTAATTCAAAAAGTAAAAATAGTAAAAGCCTAAAAAGTAGTGAGAGCCTTGCGAAAATACGTTAAAATTAAATAAAATAGGAGTCTAAGTAGCTAGAACCCTGCGAGAATACATTAAAAGTAAAGATTTTTTGAGAAGCCTTGCCAGAAACAGGAAAGCCCGCTGTGACTAGCGTGGTTGACGGACGCGTCAACACACAAGTTAGGTTTTCACCATTGGAACCTGGGGGAATTTTGGGCCCCCCCGAAAAATGGAGACAGGCATTCCAATCGAGCAGCTATATAGAGAAATAGAGGCTCAGATTCTGAGTGGTCTGGATAAAAAATATAGGAACAAGGCAAAACGAAAGGCTGTGAAAGCATGGGAAAAAATACAGAACAAAAGGGTCATACCTGAGTATATGACAGCGTCCGCATTGGCTAAGATATTGCGGGAAGAGGAAAATAATTTAAAACAGCATAAACTTGAGCTTGAGGGAAAGCAGGGAGAGAGTTGGAATGAGCGTAGAAAAATTAAGAAGGAACTAAAAAAGGCTGAGAAACTGAGGACCAAGGTACATAATTTTGCTTTGGCTGCCACGGCGTTGGCAAAATTACCGATGGTAAGTAAAGACAAGGAAACAGAAAACGGAGCAATGCCGGTGAGTAATATATACCCATCCCTACCCACGGCTCCACCAAAGTACTCTCTAGGTTTAGAACCAGGTAAGCCAAATCTAATATTGCCACAATATACATTCTCAGGAGAAGTGGCGGTAGGAAAGAGAGGGGACAATGACTTTGTAGACAGTGAATTTGACGAAGGGACAGAACAGGAGTCTGTGGGGGACAATAGAGATCCGAGTCAAAATCCAGCTGTCAGCCTCCCGCCACAGCTCCCACACACCCCTCACCAACCCCCACCCATCCAAGAGGTGCAGGAGCTGCTCCTGCACTCTCTCAGAAATATTAGAGCTAGGAAACCGACCTCTGAATGCACCACAGACAGAGTTGAGGGAGAAGAAACCCCAAGTAGGACCCATGATTACGAGACCGCTAGACAGGAGAATGCAAAATTAATTAATAAAGCCGCACGCAGAGCCATGACTAGGACGGACAGTGAAAATGAAAAGGGAGACGGTGCCATGGCCCAGCCAATACTTAAAGCTAAACAGGCTAAAAAAGGAGCTAAATTCTCTTCTGACGATAGTAGTGATGACGGAGACCGGGAGCCTGGGGAAACTAGACCGGTGGCAAGCAGAACCAGGTCTCAGACAAAATCCATGTTCCCTCTGAGACCAGGACGAGGCGCAGCTGGGGAGTACCATCCTTTTTCTGTAAGTGACATGCAGACTATAAAAGACAAAATGCCTCCATTGTGTCAGGGAGCTGGAAACTGGATTTCCAGTCTGAACACATGGTTTACAGGTCATGATGTCGCGATGGGTGACGTCCGGGCAGTGATGGCAGCATGCAGTAAACCATGGGAGAGAGATGCTATTGAAAGACAAGCTGGTACTGCTGATGTTTGTGATTCTTCCAGATTTGGCCAGTATGCAAATGCCTGGTATGAAGCACTGAGGGAGAACTTTCCAACCCCGCTGTCTTCTGCCCCTCGCTGTCCATTTCAACCTCTCCGAGTGGAAAAGAAACGGCTTCTTGACTGCTAAAGGCCGACCCATCACACATAGAGCCCTGGTGGAGAGGCTGGACAGCGCTCTCCAGCTTCCAAAACAGGTTGAAGGAAGTCTCGACCTCTGCGAGAAGGAGGCCTCGGAGGATCCACCTGCCTGGGTCCGTGTGAAGGTGTTCAAAAGGAAGTGGAACGAGCCCCGCTGGACCGGACCCTTTGAAGTGGTGGCCCGCACTCGCAAAGCTGTTCAACTGAAGGGACACGGGAACAAGTGGTTTCATCTCTCTCATACGAGACCATCTGACCCACCCTCGTAACCACGCTCACGGGTTGGACAGGGACTCACACACACGCTTACACTCGCTCTTAATATGTTGCCTTGGGACAGGGAGCCCTGGCCCACGACCAAAAGAGGGAGAGCCATCCTATGGGCTATCGCTGCAGTTGGTTTGGTCGTGGTCCTGGGAATTTTAACATGGGAAGTGTTAGAAAACACACAGCTAAGAGACAGGGCCAGACTTGTAACACAATCCAGTCTTTGGTCCAATAAGACTGACAGAAATAAAAGATCCATAGGAGAAGGCAGCGTTAGAGACTCTCTACCTACGGTTGTGACAGTAAAATGCCCGGTGGGTGCGACAATTACAGCCCACATACCAATGGCAACAATCTTTCCATTATCCTTTCGACCTGACTTCACACTCTACCTGTGTTACACACCGTCAACATGTAAATATGAGAGACATGGAAAAAGCTTTAGAGCATCGGTGGACTGCACCTGTGATGCTTGGGAGTATGTTATATCCAATACAGGTCCTGATTGGGGTTATAATAATGAACACAGATTGAAGGGACGAGTGATTCTGACTACAGACCACTCACAAACAACGGTGCTAGTCACTGTGAAAAATTGTGGGATTGATGTGAATGGGACTTACGTTATTGGACATTATCCAGGAGACATTAGACAATGGATTTCAATTGCCCTACCCAAGGACAAGGAGCTAGACAAGGAGGCCATAGATAGTGAAGTATGGCAAGACAAACAAAACGTACAGGTGACTGCTGACTGGACTGTTTCTGAATTGTTAAAACAAGCAACTGGATATGGGGATAGAAACGCTTGGTTGTGGACAGTGGAGCACATGTCAGCGGCTGCTGGCTTTGACGATTGTGTTGTGTGTTCTACTGCACGTCCCACTTTGTATACAGCCCCGGCTCCACTTTTCCCAGAAGATGTAGATGGTTATAATTGTATGATAAAGTTGTTTTGGCAAGAAAAGGACCTGACTGAGGAGACAAAGACAGTCCCTAGCAACTGTTCAATGTTTGAAGTATTGTTTCCAGAATTGGATTCAGAAATTCAGCCCCCTATGTTTTCCCACAGGAAAAGCAATTACACCTGTTTCCACTCACTCAATGGAGGGACGAGGCCGCGTCTCCAGTGGGGGTTCCTTCCAGCAGACTGGTGTGTCAACAACGTCACCCTGCCCAGTCCGGTCCCCATGACCCGGACCAGAGGTGATTTGTATTGGTTGTGTGGAGATTTAAAACTTAGACATAGACTAATAAAAAATTTTACAGGCAGTTGTGCAATGGTGCGATTAATGATGCCCATTTCCATAATTGGCCATAAGCCATCCCTAGACAGTCCCCACCCACAGCATAGATTTAAAAGGGCAATCCCATTCCTAGATACTGGGAAAGATAATCCAACTTACATGGACTCAGGTGTTCCACGTGGAGTCCCTCATGAATTCAAACTGGTAGATCAAATTGCAACAGGTTTCGAAAATATTCCAATAATTTCCGCTATTTTCCCTATTACGCCAAACAAAAATGTAGATAGAATTAATTTCATTTGGTATACTATGCTTAGGCTTGCCAATCACACCAGGGACGCAATAGAGGGATTGGCGGAGCAGCTGGGGGCCACCTCTCTGGTAGCATTTCAAAACAGAGTGGCTCTAGACATGCTCTTAGCAGAGAGAGGTGGGGTCTGCAGTTTATTTGGTACAGAATGTTGTGTATACATTCCAAATAACACACATCCAGATGGATCAGTTTCCAGGGCTCTGGCTGGTCTCAAAATGCTGTCAGAGCAAATGCATGACGTTTCTGGAGTCCCGGAGAACCCACTGGAGGCGTGGCTGGACAGCATCTTGGGGAAGTGGAAGCATGTAATTTTGTCTGTTATCACAAGCCTTGCGGCCATCTTTGCAATAATAATGGTTGTAGGATGCTGCTGTATACCTTGTATACGTTCTCTTTGTGTTAAAGCTATAGACACCGCTGTTAACCCTGGACTGAGAGGTCAAATGCTTGCATTGGTTGAGGATTCCCCCGTCCCGTCGCCTGAGGAAGGTTATTGAAATGTGTGGCCTTTTTTAATAGCGGCCAAAAGAGGGGACTGTTGTATTAAATATAGGCTAAAAGGCGATGTGAATTAGATTGACCTGAAATTGAACTCTGTCTGTCTCCAAGCAAAAAGAAAGACCTTGTATTGCCCAACTCCCCTTGTCCCATTTTGTCCAAAGTGCATGGGTGAGTTAATGATAGTTAATCTGGGGGGATTCTGCTAATCCTTTCAAGTTGTGAAAGAAGGAGATGGAGTCCAGAATCTGGAGGAGAAGCCTTGAGATCCCTCTGCCTTATCTCAAAGGAACTAATAAATCGATAGAATTAGGGAGGGGTAGTGCGTGAATGATTTCTGTTTAGGTCTGGCGAGACGGAGAAGACCTGATGGAGGCCGGACCCTGGACCAAGAGCTGACTGATACGACACGCCCCCTTCTTCCCCTTGCACATTTACTTAATGAATAGCTTGAATGTGTGAGTTAGTTTTTTTCAGACCGGACCAGGGACAGGAGTGTGATTTGCGTGGAGCGCCCACCAAAATCATACTTTTATATTTTATATAGAGAATAAGGGATAGTTACTTTTGGTCCGAACAGCTGTTTTAGATTCTTTTTGTATTAGGGAAATAAACCTTTTTGAATTTAACTTTCTGAATCATGGTCATCTTTATAAGGGATTTTGAACACGTCATTTTTTAATATAATACTAAGTAAGATGGTTAAGTTTAGGGTTAAGGGTGGGTTGGGGTTATTTTATGGGAATGGCTGGTTAAGTTTAGGCATGAATAGGTAGTTTGTTATATTTACTTCCGCTTCCGTCCAGATTCCGTGACGTAATCTACTGCTGCGCATGCTCATTGGATTATACTGAACTTCCGGACGAATACAGGAGTGACACAGACGAATCAGTGGGGGTGGGTCCCAGCTCAAAAGTGGCCAAAATGACGTGCGCTGACATGCTTGCAATACCACCCCGGGCCGATGGGGGTGGACCCAGAAGCTTTTAGCCAATGCTAACATATAGCATTGGCAGACCTCTCAAAAACTTCTTTACAGGATGGACCAAAAGTTGGCTCTTTGCCCAACGCTCCATTCCACATGTGTGTCAATGCTGAGGGGGGTGAATTTTTTTGGTCCGCTCTAATTTACTTGCTGTGAATTTTTGAAGTCTCTCGTTCAAATAAATGGGGCTCTCGCCGGCTGACGCATGCGCAGATGCGTTTTTTCACAATTTTCTTGTGAGCGGGACCACTCGCGGCCATTTTGGATAGCTCCAGTAGAGCACATTTTTTGGCCATTAGTTAGAACGGCGGAGATAGGCATGACTCTGTCCGTTAATATATACAGTCTATGAGACGAACACATGCATTAAGAGTTCCAAGCTTCCGGCTCGACTGCTCGACTTCAACATACTGTAGATATTTTTTAAATTGTAATTGTTTGTAAAACTGCACCAAAAAAGCCACACAAAAAAAAGTACTTATCTCGTTCTGAACGGCATCAATTCCAGTTGCTTGTTCGGTGAACACTGTGGGAGCCAGGCCTCCAGATTAACTGTTTGTTATTTTTACAAAATTGATTTGATGATACATACACGTAAATAAGAGCAAGGGGTATTTTGGAAAATCACTGGACAAGAGCAATGGGCTTCGGAGCTCTTTATCATCAAGAAATGCATAACAATACGAATTATGTGGCTACTGTTTTCTATAAATAGCCAGAGTTGGAGAACTATAAGATCCTGGTCCATGAGAGCGTGCAAAGACTGGTTTGTCTCAAGTGTTTTGGACAGAGGCATGTGGGCTATGTGGTTCACATCAGGACAAGCTGTCAGTCAGAGGTGGAGGTGGGCTCTCTCCCAGTAGCATGGCTCTGATTGGCTCCTTGTAAAGGGGCCAGGCCCAGGCCCTTCGCTTGGATTGAACTGTTGCAGAGACTTTACAGCCACTTCCAACTTTAAGGATGCAATCCCAGGCTATCGTCTCTGCAAGATGGCTTGCAAACATAGTCAAAAGTCATGTTACATCAAGTGTGCGAGTTTTGGACACGTCCTGGTACCTCCCAGTGATGAACAGAGATGGAAAGAAGGAGTTTGCTCAAACTCACATCCCAGGAGCGTCCCATTTTGACATTGATGATTGTTCAGACAGGACGTCCCAGTTCGACCACACGTTGCCCAGTGAGGAGCACGTGATTACGTGGGGAACCTCGGAATCGACAATAATAGTCACGTGGTTGTGTACGACGCCAGTGACTTTGGAGCGTTCTCTTGCACTCGTGTTTGGTGGATGTTCCGCCTGTTCGGACACCCCCAGGTGTCGGTCCTGAACGGAGGCTTCAGGCGCTGGGTGAGGGAGGGTCACCCCGTCACAGAGACATACACCCGGCCACAGCCTGGCAAGTTCCGTGCCAAGCTGAACCGAGAATGGATCAAAACTTTTGAGGACATGACAGAGAATATTTCAACGCAGCAGTACCAAGTAGTAGACGTCAGACCTTATGCCAGGTTTCTGGGTGAGGAGGCCGAGCCACGAGAAGGTAATGTTATGTTTTGTTGATCAGACTGCATTACTGTAAATAAAACTAAAAAATACCCTGCAGTAAATGGGGGGCTAATGTCATACCTTGCACGGTCGGCGTTTGGGGCAACACGGTGCATGTCCTGACCAATCTACATTTCACAATGTAGATTGTTAATTGCAATAAAAGTGACATTTGTGTCTTAATTCTTGGTTTGCTTCGGCTGCCGTGAGACCAGTTGGGGTGGGTCCCAGCTCAAAAGTGGCCAAAATCACATGCGCTGACTTTCTTGCAATACCACCCCGGGCCGATGGGGGTGGACCCGGAATAAGAATTAGCCAATGCTAACATATAGCATTAGCTGACCTCTCGAAAACGTCTTTACAGGATGGACCAAAAGTTGGCTTTTGGCCCAAAGCTCCGTTCCACATGTGTGTCAATGCTGAGGGGGGTGGATTTTTTTGGTCCACTCTAGTTTACTCGCTGAGCATTTTTGAAGTCTCTCGTTCAAATGAATGGGGCTCTCGCCAGCTGACGCATGCGCAGATGCGTTTTTTCACAATTTTCTTGTGGGTGGGACCACTCGCGGCCATTTTGGATAGCTCCAGTAGAGCACCATTTTTGACCCATTCGTTTTTTAATGTTTTTTATGTCATGTTAAGTTGACAGTTTTTCCTATTCTTAAATTACATTTTAATGTTTTATTTATTTATATTGAGTAAAAAAATCTGCCTACTTGACAGAAATGTGTCCAGTTAAGTTGGTGGTGGTGTTATTATTGTACTAGACTAGAAACATATTAGGAACAATAATAATAATAATGAATATTTTTGTAATTTCATTACAAAAATATTTTTCAATGCATCAGTTTTCCCTCAAATTAGAATTCTACTCCTGCACTTTGCTCCTTATCCTTGATCAGATATCAAGAACATAACATCATGATGACAATGTTTGTCTGAACAATCACAATTATATCTTTCTTTAATAGAATTATGCAGGCTTAGATTGAACCCATGACCATTTGTTTGTGTTATAATGTTATGTGCCCAGCCCCACAACTGTACATGCTCACAACATTACCATGTATACTGTGCAGAATATTAATTATTTCAGAATGAGGTCGAGTTAACATTTGTTTGTCATTTGGTGACTTAATTTATACTCATTTATATATAATTCAAATGTATATTACTATCTTTCTAGTTAAATAATTTTTGTTTTGTTTAACCCTCCAGGTGTAGGTCCAGGCCACATCCCAGGGTCCAAGTGCATGCCTTTCTACAGCTTTCTTGATCAGGATGGCATGCTGCTTTCTCCAGACAAGCTGAGGAGGTTCTTCCAAAAGGCTCAGGTGGACCTGCAGAGGCCCCTGTGTGGCACCTGTGGCTCTGGGGTGACTGCATGTCACATGGTGCTGGCTGCACACATCTGTGGAGCTCCAGGAGCAACAGTGTACGATGGCTCATGGTACGAGTGGTTCAATAAAGCACCTAAAGAGCACATTGACACCGGTGTTTCAAGCAAGCCCTAAGAATGAAATGTACCATTCCAATTATCAATATATGTCCTCAGATCGATCTAATTTTTTGTATAACTGATACATTTGTAATTAACAATATTTTCATACTGTGTCATGGTAACACGCTATTTAAGGGTTCAAATTTGATTTAAATGAAAATAATAGGGACAGAAATTATGAACTGAATAATGAACCTTTACATGAAAATACTCCATATATCTATTGTTGTCACTTTTTGTGTAATCGTTACCAAAGTTTAGTATGCTCTCAGAAGAATAAACAGAGAACGACAACCTTTGGTTTAAGCTTTGTTTCTTTATTCTCATCAGAGTATGGCATAAATCACCATGGAAATGGAGGTCTCCCTTGCGGCCGTATGGAGTCAGTGGAAGGTAGTGTTGACATTGTAGTGTTTTGGCTTAGAGTTTGTCCTTGGTCCTTGAAGGTCACAGTCATGTCTCGTAGTTTTTTTTTTGTAGTGAACCTTTTGAACAATCTGAGTGCTGCTTGCACTAAGAGCAGCAGACGATAGTGTCGCACAGTATTCCATCCTAAGTGTTGTGTCCTTAAGCAAGGCACTTGGTCCACTACCTAGTATGAGTCTGGTCTGTGCGTGTGAATGATTGGTGGTGGTCTTTGCGGGGCATTAAAAGTTCTCCACAGTATACCTTCACATTCAAGGGCAAAGTTCTTGGATATCCTCACAAGTTCTCCTTTGGATCTTGACTCAAAATCTCGATATGGGATAAGCACTCCACCGATTGGAACTGCTGTTATGACAACAACACAAAGACAGATGAAAAACTCCAAACGTCATCTTTTTTGTGCTGAATCGAATGCAGAATTACATTCTCACTGCCATTTTGATTTACTTTGATAATAATGAGCTAAATACAAAAAGAAATGTATGTATGACATACGATCACTAGTAAAGTGATGAGGCAAGACTGTCGTGTTTTAAAACTTTTTGTGTGGCCTGATCAGATGTGGATTTTGAATGGGGAACTTCGCCCACTCTGCAGCTCCATAAACCTGTAATCAACTGTATCATATATAGTCACAGTTGCTGATTGTGTCTAGTGAGGATTTGCTAGTGTGCACAATTCTAATAACTATGGCGGATGTAGACACATATTTAAATCAATAATAACTTAACTTGTATCCCTATCTTGTGTTATATAACTATTTGTTTTCATGTATCAAATCTAATGGAAGATTCCATTTACAAAAATACAAAATAGTTGTCATTTATTTTTCATATCAATAATAAATGATGGTACTAGATTGATAAAGATTGTGTGTATTGTCCATAGACTGTAGTATTGTCCATGGTTACTTTACCAACAATTTCGATAGTTTTTTTTTTTCCTAAGTTCAGCCCTCCTTTGCTATTGGTTGTGACCATTGAGTTTAAGTATGACACGACAACACCCCACCGGTGGTCCAGCCGAGGTCGACGCAGTACATCATGGCGGCTCAAATCCGTACTTTGGTGTCGTCCCAGTGGCTTTTAGAAGCCATCAGAAACAACCGCATTAGTCCAAAGCTGCGGATCCTGGACGCGTCGTGGTATCTCGCCAAAACCAAGCGGGACGCCAGAGCGGAGTTCGCCCAGTCGCATATAAGCGGAGCCTCCTACTTTGACATCGATGAATGCTGTGAGAAGAGCTGCGGGGATCTGGATCACATGCTGCCGTCTCCAGAGCGCTTCTCTCAGTACGTGGAAGCGCTCGGCGTCGGGAACGACACGCATGTGGTAGTGTACGACACTCATAACTTTGGGGCGTTCAGCGCGCCCCGCGTCTGGTGGATGTTCCGTCTGTTTGGCCACAGCGCGGTGTCTGTTCTGGACGGAGGGATGAAGCACTGGCTGCACAGTAACTACCCCGTGACTGCAGAGTACACTGCCCCCGAGCCGAACACTTTCTCCGCCTCTTTCAACCCGTCCTGGGTGAAGACGTATGAAGATATTCTGCAGAACATCCATGCGAAGGCAGTGACGGTCGTAGATGCCCGGTCTGCGGGCAGGTTCAAAGGCACAGAGCCAGAGCCCAGAGATGGTGAGCTGAATGTCCTCAAGCTTAATGGCATGTCCTCATATTTATGAAGGAATACAGGATTCAGAAGTTTAATTCAAGGTTGAAAGCTGAAACATTCATGATAATGTAAACTATTTAACTCTTGCTGCCTTAACTATTTCGTTAACTATTTGTGAGTCACTGTGGTCACATGGCTTTTGTAGAGTAAATGCTACTGTCATTTGCAGAGGGTAAAACGTGATGGGTTATTCTATGCTGTTTAATTATTACATAATCATGAGACGTCAAACATCAGAAGCTAACCAGGGCAGGGCCTCAGAGAAGGTGCAAACTTTTTCTAACTGTTGTGTCTTTAAGCAAGACACTTAACCCACATTTCCCCTAGTCTGTGCATGAGAATGGTTAGTGGTTGACAGTTGGGCCGATTGCACGGATTAATTGCATCACTTCCATCAGTCTGCCCCAGGGCAACTGTGGCTACAACACCTCAGTGTTTGGAGTGAATGTAATGTGAAGTGTCTTTGAGGGGCATTAAAAGTGCTATACAAAATAAGTATGATGCCTCTTCATCCTTACCATTTATTTTTTATTTTATTAAATGGATCGTTGACCAATCGTCACAACTTGATCTTTCACGTTTTGAACTGCTATGACAATGACACAGACGCACAAAAAGGTCACTGAAAATATTCCCTCAAAGTTATTTTCTACCAGAATATATTTGTATTTCATGTGAGTGGGATAGGTAGGCAATGATTCAGTTTTGCAAAACATTATGACACAGTTGTGCTATTTCTTTTTACAGATGTACTGCCTGGCCATTACCCTGGTACTGTCAACATACCGTTTTACTCTCTTCTGGACCAGTCTGGGAAAATGCTTCCGTTGGAAAACTTGGCAAAGATTTTTAAAGAGGCAGATGTGGACGTCCAGAAGCCCTTGTGGGCCACCTGTGGCTCAGGCGTCACGGCGTGTGTGGTGATACTGGCTGCTCACCTGCTTGGACACCCGGGCGCCTGTCTGTACGATGGCTCCTGGACTGAATGGTTTAAAAGAGCACCTCCTGAATACATCATTTCTGAAAAATGAACAAAAAACTTTTTTGTAATTTAATTTTTTTATACATTTTAGACCCTCTATGCAAAGGTTCTTAGCTTATCTTAAATGTAATAAATCTAAATTTTTGCACAATATTTATTGTGAATTATTAAGTGCTACTGTTGCACAATCAATGGCAATAGATTGTTCCCAGAGTGGGAAGAGAAGTAGTGTATGTTACATACGTATGTCACAATTAATAAAAAAACTGAGTGTATCTGAAAAATGTGTTGCAATGAACCCATACTTTTTCAATTTTCTTGCTGGTTGCAAAATTATGTGGGTTCACTGTAATAAAAATATTCATGAAGACTTTTCACATGGCATTATTCCTTTACTCCTTACATGGGAGTGGTAAATTACTGCTCTTGCCACAGCTGCTCTCGGGCAGACTGTGAGAGAAAAGCCTGCCATCTTTTTGATTTCATATTGATTTTTTATTTATTATCAATATTATTGAAATTCAATAACCAGTGTGGATATTGACTTTCTAGGCAATGTGTGTCTTGCCTAAGGAGAGTGCAGTTTAAGATGACGATTTAGAGTTCCAGAGCTTTGCCTCCAGGACAGAGAAGACTCCGGGTTGGATCAGAACAGATGAGAAAATTAGATGATATATAGCTATTCAGTGGTAACAAGCCAGAAACTAGCCTTGAATTATTATTATTTTTAAATAAGGAAACACTGGCTACTGTGGCTACATTCCCCCCGTGAACCTCTTTTGAGTACTTTTGAGTAATTATATCTAGAACTTGCTGAATTCTTGGGGCAGAAAATTAGAATTATTCAAACGCATGATGAAATAATTGAATAGATTGTTATTATAAGCTAAATATATCAAACCAAAGGAGACAGCAGTGCCTCGGATGTCCTAGGCGCCGCCTGAAGGTCCTCACCAAATAAACAAATTGGGGTCCTTTCTCGTCGTGCGTGTTAGCCTTTCTGAGCCTCAACCGCTGGAAAACACCGTTTCGCTCCCCAAATCCTCCCGGTGCACGATATCGATAGCGTTAGTTCATGGTAGTGTTTGGTTTGCAGTAAATTGTCGCTTTAGTAAACTCCCAACTACAATAACCGGTTTGGTATTCGGACGTCAAAGGGCGTGATATTCTGTTAGCCACATTAGCTGTCTCCGTGTTAGCATTAGCGAAGCGGAGGTAATACTTGTTATTAAGGCCATTGAATAAACGGCTATAAGGGGTAAGTTGACCTTAAATCTGAACAAAAAAACAATACTTTCATATTATTATACTCGTTGCTATCGTATGCTCTGTTTATATCCACATCTTTGAGTTGGGCTATGCTATCTAGTGCTATCTTGCTAGAAAATGAAATTAACGCAGCTTTTAGTATAGCGGATTCTTACAAAAAAACGCACATGCTCAATGTCTAAATGGGCCTACATATAAATTAACGTGGTGTAGCTTTTAGGTTTACGAGCAAACCATTATAATTGTTAATTGGATCATTAATTTAAATTTCCACAGGGAGGCGTTAATGAGCAGTCATGTCTGGTATCGCTTTGAGCAGACTGTCCCAGGAGCGTAAAGCTTGGAGGAAAGACCACCCATTTGTAAGTAGCAGTCACCTGGTTGGCAGAAGAGATATTGAGCCTATGATGGCAAAAAATCTCTAGCTTATAATTATTTTTATTGACAGGGTTTTGTTGCTGTACCGACCAAGAATCCAGATGGGACAATGAATCTGATGAATTGGGAATGTGCCATCCCTGGAAAGAAAGGAGTATGATTGTTTAACCATTAGAAAATTATACATGACAGTGTTCTGCAACGTCCATTTAAGTTTCAGTGTATGTCGTATTTGATGCAATAGGTGATTAAGAACCCCCTTTTCCCTTACATTTCTAGACATTGTGGGAAGGTGGCCTGTACAAACTTCGAATGCTGTTCAAAGATGACTACCCGTCTTCTCCACCTAAATGTGAGTCATGCTTAAGGATTGGCAACCCTTCATAGATATCTTTTAAGTTGCTAATTAGGTTATATTTAAGGGCTTATCCCAGAGCAAAGCACTTTCACACATCCTCTTGTGTTTTAGAGATATTCAATGAAAAAACAGGTAACGACGGTTTATAAAATGCCTTACCATATTCTGTACCTTCTGGGTTTAAACATTAACCTTTCGTTTTATTGTTTCTCCTCTCCACATGTAGGCAAGTTTGAGCCCCCAATCTTCCATCCAAATGTGTATCCATCAGGCACAGTGTGTCTCTCTATCCTGGAGGAGGACAAGGACTGGAGGCCCGCCATCACCATCAAACAGGTTTGATAATGGCTGCATATTTTTTTTAGAGCATGAAAGGAATGGTTAAACAAAAACATGGCCCACACAAAGAAGATGTGTGAATCCAATGAGTTTTCTTTCCAGATTTTATTGGGAATCCAAGAACTGCTGAATGAGCCCAATATTCAAGACCCGGCCCAGGCAGAGGCATACACGATTTACTGGTATGTGTTTGCTGCCAGACGTTCAGTACTTCTCTCCTCCTCTTCATAATCCTATTGTTGTTTGTGTTTGATTCAGTCAGAACAGGATGGACTATGAGAAGCGCGTCCGGGCACAGGCCAAGAAGTTTGCCCCCACATAAAGAAGCAGTGGCTTGGCGAGAGATGGGCAACCCCAGAAGGACCACTCCAACAGACATCTCTGGTTTTGAGTATTTCAGCTACCCAGCTAGCAGAAAACCTGCTTCTTCCTTTGTTTTTAAAGCAATTTACGTTTTATAAGAGAATGATTTTACCGGTCTCAAAAATGCGTGTGAAGATGGCTCATCAATTTTGAACTGTGCCGTCTCCATGACCTTTGCCAAACACTCGGCAGGGTCCTCGTCTTCATCTTTTAGGTGCCTGTATGTTCATGTCCATTGAATCATCCAAATCCAGTTGTAAAGTAAGATTTCATGTTGAACTCATTTTCTGTTGTTTAGTCAGTATTAGAGGTATGGGGATGTAGTCTCAAAGAACTTTTAGATTATAGCCAAATGTTGAAAGCCGTTTCACACAAAATGAAGCAAAAGCACAATTGATGATCATTTGACCATTAGTTTTTCTTTTTTTTAAGCCAAAATGGGTCAAAGACAATCTTGACACTTTTTATTGTTACTTTTATGACTAATTTAAAATGGCAACTCCAAGGATGTATCCACAAACTTTTTGTAATATGTTCTCTTCCCCCAAGCCATGTAATTCACTTTTCTATTAAGTTAGAACGTGTAGTCCATAAATTCTGCAGAAGTGAAATCATCAAGATAGTACGTAATTCAGTCAAGTGAAGTTTTTAAATGAAAAGCAAATTAAAGAAAAAAAACTATTCATGCTTCACTCTTCTGTATAATACAATTTGAACTGTGTGGCATCAGCTGTTAAACCTGTTAGTGTCCTCTGAATGAAGCCAATGAAAGTGCACTTGGGAGTGAACAAAGGACTCTTTAATTTCTTTTGCCTCTGAAAAGATGAGCGCATGTACATAATATAAATAATGTTGTGGTTGTTACATTTTATATTGTTTTAGCCAGTCTGACATTTGTGTGTGGTATAGTTCAACTACACAAATAGCATTTAAGAGTGTCATGAATTCAATAAAAAGACCTAAAAATGAATTTTGTTTTTATTCTTTTACCTGTTACAAAAGTACACATTTTCTTACTTCCTCCTGGGGTGAGTGCAACGCCCTCATGTGTCTTGGTGACGACTTTCTTGAGAAATGCAACACCACTTGTTGGTCCGTAGCCTCTTTCTCTGTGGTTTGGCTTCACAGTTTGACCTCAATACGCATCATCAATGTCACAGGTGAGACCGCTGTCTTTCGTCACTTTTCTTCACATTATTTGTTGATTTTGGTGTTTTTGCTGCTGTAAGCTGCAGGTGCGAGCGTGTAAGAATCTTCAGGGGAAGATGCTTTTACAGCCACATAATTCCAACGTTTTAACAGTCGGAGTTCTAGAAAACGGCTACCACTGCCTGGGTCACTGTCTCCGCTCCAACATGTTCCCAGGTCTGCAACACACTCCAGTTTGTTAGAAAAGTGCATGCTTCTGGGAAAGGAACTGCCACTTTCTTGTCTCCTCGGAGATGGCAGTGCTTTGACTCAGTATGGAGAATTGTTCTAAATCATAAGCAGATGATGTTGGTGAGGATCAGAATTTTCAACATACAATGAATCCTTACCAACAATCTTCAACACTTTTTTTCTGCCCCATTTAAAATACTGTGTGGAGGACTGGAATCGCATACAAAAGTAACAGATGTATCAAGAATAATGTTCTTTGCTGGATACAAACCAAAGAAATACTTGTTTTGTAAATGTAAAATAGTTTGCAACATATTGGAGAAATATGTAAACTTCTATTTAAAGGTTGCCATAATTTGCCACCAAGCACCAAAGCCCAAAATACACCTTGATTAAGTCATATTTTGATTAAATAATTATTCAGGGTGCATAGGACGAGGCAAAACATGTTCAACATTTTGTTGAACAATAGTGATATTGTACTCACTTGATTTTTTTTTGGTTGCCCGACTAAATAAACAATAATTAGATCAATTAGGACACTTGCAAGTCCATGCTTTGAAACACTAAATTAACCATTGACATTCATGAATACACACATGGGCACTTTATTTGAATTGGAAATCTTAATGCAACTGTGAGTTTTGGAATAGCTCTTCTCCCAGTATAAAACATAAATACAACAATGGTCAGAAATTAGAAACGTGTGATTTTACTAATTTTCCTTTAACTTTGATCCTTTGTTCTGCAGGTTGTCCAGTTCTTTGGAAATCTATCTCCAGGGAATCCTATGTGGCTCACCCTCTGACTCCGCCAGATCTCTGGTTTGGCCACAAGACTGATGACTTGGGTAGATATGCCCATTTTGTATTCACAGTTTTGTGATTCTGTGTTTTTACTAATTTTATTTGTCTATTTTTAAAGTCCAGTGGGCGGAAATGAACATCATGAACAACAAGCGGAGTCTGACTGCAGTGGGGGAAAGTGGCAAAAAAGTGTAGCATGTGAGAGGACACGCATTTGAATGTTTTATTGCATTTTGTATCATAAAAAAAACTTTTTTTTTTTTTTTATTCAGGCAACGGGAGCAACATAGCTGTTTAAAAAAAAAAAGACCTATGCTACAAGAAATAAAATCAATTTACTTATTTAACCCCTCCCCATTTTCCATTTACGTATTTGCTTCTTCTCTTTGCAAACTTAAAATTCAGTGAAAGAACTATCCAGAGCGCAATAACGAATACAAACAAGAAAATTAAGGAATAAACAGAAAGGGGGAAAAATAAAACCATGATGTTAAGACAGCAAGGATACCAACAATGATAATAAATATTTCGGCCTCATACAATCTGTTCAAAGCTCATCTCAAATCATGGTTCATCACCAGACAGACATGTCAACACTGACTTTTAACTGATTGTATATATGGTAAATGTACACTGTTATTTTATTATTGATGTTTTATATAAGTGTTTGTGTGTGTTTGCTATTAGGTTGACATTTTAAATCTGTCCAGGGACAACGGATGAAAAATAGCCTTGTGGCTAATTCTGGTACATTTACAGTAATGGTCATTAATGTACACTGTCCCTGTCAAATAAACAAATACATAAATTTACCAACAATGATAATAAAAACTATACCAACAAGGACAACAATTATGGTATAAAATGAATATGGAAATTGATCTTTTTCAAGCTGTGGGTTGCTCCGTCTTATTGTTTAAGAATTGATCTGTCAAAGGATCACGAACATATGATGTGGAATGATCCATCCATACTCTACATATACACTGTATGCAGTAAAAGCTTCTCTCTGACTGTCGTGTTGACGTGAGACATAAAAGGCACAAAGCTACAATCGTACCGCGGTTGTGAAATGGGAAAATGTCACTAAAGGCTGCATACGACATGTGCGAAGTAAAAGAAACGTGTGTGGTTTTGCATGAACCACCGAAACTATCCTTTGTCACATCACATCCAGAAGCACAGCCAAGTTCACAAATAATGAATTCTATCTTTCCTTAAAATAGCACAATAAATGTGAGTGATAGTAGAGGGCACATGGCAGCTCTGACGATTATCACATAGAGAAAGTTTACAAGGTTTGACATTAGAAAAATGGTTAGTGCTTGTGCTTCACAACAAGAAGGTCCATGGGTTTGATTCCACCTTCAGGCCGTTCTCCCTGTGTCTGTGTAGGTTTTCCTCTGGGTGCTCCTGTTTCCCCTACCACTACAAACACTGTGGGAAAACAAATGCACATTAGCCCAAGGATACAATCCGGAGAGGTGTGTTCATTAACTGTCCCAACTAAATAAACAATAAATAAATAGATTCGAGATTTGATCCCAGTGTCGCTCCAGATGAGTGTTTTTTAATGTGCTTTGAGAATGATCGGAAATGTGAAAAGAAAATAACGTGAGAAGGTTAGAAAGTCTTTTTCTGCTTGTTTGTTTTTCCATATAATAAACATTGATAAACCTCATTTCAGTTTCAATTGAATTTAACACAACATGGTGTGAAATAAAGATGAAAAAATACATAATTGAAAAATGTATCCATTACAGCAACAGTTCAATAACTGGTCTATCCATCCATCCATCGTCTTCCCCTTAATCCATTTATGGGTTGGGGGGTGTCAGTCAAAGCTGCACCCAGTTCACAGGGCACCAGCCCCTCAATGATCCTCCTGCAGGTGGTGAGTCCACAGGAGCCTTGATCTTTCAGCGGGGGCTTCAGGCAAACTGGGGTTTGGTGTTTTGCCCAAGGACACAACAGTGGAAGTTGTGAAGTAGGTCTCAAGGTGGGCCCAAACCCACAACCCTCAGGCCTAAAGGCCAATGCTCTACTAACTGAGCCACTGTTTCCCCCAGAACTCTGGTCCGTTTCCTGCTAATTTCAAAATGTGTTCTCTACAATCTGTGGCTTTATTGGTGCAAAACTGTCCTTAGTTAGAACAGAAGTAATTTCACCAAAAATAGATACAATTAGAAAATCATAGACACATTAATGCATCAGTCCACCCAGGTCACTCTAGCACTTTGTGATTCAAGACCAAAAAAACATATGTAGTGTTTGTCAAAAGATATTTGGGGAGAGAATTTTTGGAGATTCTTTGGAGATTCTGGGCTCCAGCATCAGCACTGGGAATTGTGGTAGATTGAGTCCGACAGAGAATGTACCTTTTGTACTTTCCCTCTTCTCAGCTGACAGCAAAGGTTCATTGGATCGATTCTAAACTCTGTAAAATCATGATTCAATAGAAAAAATACTTTGATTCTTGTGAATAGCAATGAGCTCTCGCTGTTTCTCAAGAGATATGAGAAACTCAACCAGGAGAAAGAAAACATAAATCAAGTATAATATTCTACAATCTAAAACTCTGAGTAAATGGCCTTGAGAATAAGAGAATATTTGGATTTATGTTTTCATATTCTGTAGTCGCAGTTTATCTCTGGCCCTTCGTCTCAGCATGTTGTGTCTTCTGGTTCAGCTGCTGACTCCTGTGCAGCGTCTGCCCACTTCAAATCTGTGAACTTTACAACCAGCGACAGGAGCCTCAAAGTGCCACTTCAAAATGCCGTGTTGTGCAAGTGTATTGTCTGTGTCAGTGTTGCACAATGCTCAGCTCAACAGAAAACGCAGGATGAACAGTTCCTCAGACAAATGACTTTATAAATGTACATTCAGGCCTATGAAACAATTTTGCGTGGTCATTTTGTCTCAAATGAAGAGTTCTGGATCAATGTAAAAGTTGGTTGGCCAGTTTTTATGTTTCAATGGGTTCAAAAGGCCAGGATCAATTTTAGCCCCGTTTCCACTACTCTTTTCTACCCTTCCTGTACCTCCTCTACCTGGTTGAGGTTCCATTACCCATAACAAACCAGTATCTGGGAAATTCCTTGGTAACCATGGCTTTGAGCAGCGCTCTGACCAATCACTGGCAGTTAGAACACTTAAGTAACAGCTCGGTGTGGACAGAACCAGGGCCAAGAGAGTTTAGTATAGAGTATAGTAGAGCAGAGCAGAGCATTGGTAAAAAATCTAAAAAGTAGTAAGAAAGTTAAAATGACAATAAATAAGACAAAAGTTTACATTTGCAGATTTGTTTTTCTTTCTTACATTTTAAAGAAACTTTTTAACATGAACAAAAGGCTTTTAGATCTATCTATCTTTAGATCTAAATTTTGTGTATTTTTTGTACCTAAATAAAAACTGACCATTAAGATTGCTGAAGTTTTGTTAATGATTGCTATTGGTTGTGCTGACCCACATTGGCCCTCTAAATCATTCCGTCGCTCTCTGAGACATGACAACAAAATGAATCTTGAATCTTGAGCATTGGTTGCGGCTGCAGCAGCGGTTTTCAGCTCAGAACAGCTTTTCTCAATGCATGCTATCTAAATAACTCCCACTGACTAATTTAGGTCCCTCTTAAATCTTGTCAATCTACTACTTTATTGAGTCTAACCACTTCACAAGTGAGTATGCAAGTCTGTCATTGTGCTGGGTTATTGAAACAGGATGTGGTGTGCTGTGCCTTTTGGTGTTTTAACTGTTTATTATGTTTGAAAAAGCCCACACAGGAGTCCAGGTATAGCAGCGGTAGCAGCGGTAGCAGAAGTAGCGGCAGGAGGAGGAGGAGGTGCGAGCGACCAGGCCCATTCTCTCACTATCACTCTGATGCATGGGGCTTCCTGTAAGCCTTTTGTACACAGGCTGCGGTCACAAGTGGAAAATGTCACCGGGCATTTATGATGACAAGTGAGTGAAGGCTTTGAGGAGATGGAGGGATGACTGACAGAGACACATCATTAGAGACCATGTAGATGCTCGCTTCTACAATACAGAAGATGCCACTTCAAGGAATCAAGGATAGCAAGCTGTGAGGTAAATATTGACATTTATTTGACTGTGCTTCTTCTTCCTGATGCATTTATCTATTTAATTCACTCTCTATGATTTATTTATGCATGTAGCATTTATAGTACAGTATAATGCAACTTATTTTCTATGCAATTCAGCAGCTTGTTTTAATAGAGATTCTCCATTCATGCAAACATGTGACTTGCTTACATACACATCATAACAAAGCCATCCAAATAATGCATCACATGTTTAGGGATCAGGGGGGAGTTTATCAAGATTGTTTTTCCTACATTGACTGATATTGATTCCTGGTTTAATTTGCATATAAATAAGGAAGAAAACACATTACAGTTCTTGCTGGACTCTTGAGTGCACCTGTATAGAACCTGCAGAGAAAATGTATTTTGTCCAGATATAGGCCGCATGTCAGATTGTACATTAAGTCACTTTAAGTCCCTAATGACGTGCACTAGGACTAAAAAACCAGCACTGTTATTGCTTTTTATTGTGTATAATAAATCTTGCACCAACTATATTTTTAAACTGCTGTTCACCTAAGCACAGCAGGAATCTGTGATACGTCATCAGCTATGGAGATCAACAGCTGATAGATGACGGAATTTGTGCACAACTTTAACAACATAAAAATACACATTAACAATACACATTGGCCACATCACTATGTAGGCCACAGAGTTATTCAAACCAATCACAGTGAAAGAGGAGGACGCATGAGTGAGAGGGGTAAAAACTCTGGCTGCTGATCCTTCTGACAATCCCAGTGCTCCTCTTCAGCCCCTTGCACTCTTACTGCCACATCCATTACATGTTAGTGCCATCTGAACCAACTCGGACTCTGCTGGTGCCCAGAGTCAGGACTAAACATTAGGAGGAAGCGTTTTTTTATGTAACCTTTATTTAACCATGAAATTACAGAGTATAAAAACAGTTATACAATTACACTTATATGTCAATGAGGATGACTCAAGTGCTCTCAATCTGGATTTAAAAGCATTCAACAAAATACACGTCCCATGCATGAGGAGCAGAGTATACAAAAGCCTTTTTACAGAGAGCAACAAAAGATCATGTTTTCTTTAGCACTTTGAGATACTTTACAAACATAAACTTGCCTTGTCCATTATTGGTTCCTTTCCATTTAAATCCATATATTGATAATCAGGATCTACCAAAACTGGAGATTGCAATCTTGTGATATATTTGGCACAGCTGCCTGTTTTGTCAATAATGTGTGTGTGTTTTTGCAGACACCATGGCCCTGGGGTTTCAGTGGTCCATGTGCTCTGCTGTGCTCCTTCTTTCGGTGCATGCAAACCCGGGTCCCAGAAGCTCGCAAGGTATAACTGACTGTGGTCTCTGTATTACTGTGCGAACAAACAAAAATCTCATTTCAGTTTTGCAGTTTATTTTCCTCTTTTTATTTTTGCAGAGCCTAATATCGCAACAGTTCACACAAGTTTGAAGACGAGCCAGTCGACCGCGCCGGTTCCACAACTTTCCTGCGTCAATGACTATGTAAAAAACGTCACCTGCACTTGGAAGCACCCCACATTTCACCCAGATTTGGATTGTTGGGTCTCCGGTGTCAAGATTACATATCCTACTAAACGAAATGGACCACCAGCCAAATATATGAAGTAAGTTGTCTGTAGGCAGATGCTTTTTAATATTTTACGTACTTTTGGTGTTGTTTTCATTTGCTGTATTATAATCTGTTGCACTTTGAGTTTTCGTGGAAATGTAAGGTGAAATATAAATAAAAAGTACTATTATTATTATATTATATTATGTAAATATGGATACTGCAATCATGTGCAATACTCCAATTTCAGAATGCCCTCTGAATGTCACTTTATCTCCTCGTTATCCTGCCCTATATGTATATAACTTTACACTATATAGATAGGTATATTGATATTGAAGCATTTACAGCTAACTAAAAAACACAACAGCTACTTCTATTGTATATTTTGTGTACTCCCTGTGTGCCATAACTGCTATCCGGTATGTGCACTGCAACATTGAAAGACTAAAGATAGTCTTATCTTATCTTATTAGTTATTATTGTTAACTTTAGAACCAGCTACGATCATGAATGTGCTTATGTCCAGTTCCAGCTGCAAGTTAAAACAAGATGGAGATGGAGAATTCCCAGGATGCACCTTTGCCTTCACCGTAGTAAGTCATTTCTACAATTTCTGATGATATAAAGGAGATAGTCTAACCACATTTCTTCACAACCCGAAACTCAAGCCTTCACCACAAAATACTGCAGTTCATTCATTCACCTCCCACCAGATTTTTTGAATTTACGTCTTTAACATTATCAGAACTTTCAGTCATAATCCGTTTTCTTATTTTTCCCTTTTTATTTTAGAAATTCAATTATTACGAAAAACTACCAAATATTAGCTTGAAATGCAAGGGAAAATTAATTGAAGCTCAAAAAAATTATTCGCCAAAAGATCACAGTGAGTAAACAAAAACCTTCATTCCATCTTGTATTTTTAAGTGATACTAAATTATTGTTGTGATTTCAAACAGTCAAACTGCACCCTCCCGGAACGCCCAACGTCAGCAGCACCTCAAACATGACTCGGATTACGTGGAGTCTGGGGAATCCTCCGTCCTTAAAACCTTTCCAATTCCAAGCTCAGATCAAACACGTGGACCAGTCCTGGGACGTGAGTACAGGTGGTCGTGCCCTGAGCTGAGACAGATCCAGAAGTGTACATTGACGTACGTGTGTGTAACCAGGAGGTGGAGAGTCAGCCTACAGTGGTGGAGGAGATGGTAATATGGCCGAAACTCACGGGGAATCTCCAGGTGAGAGTCCGAATCAAGATTCCCTCCAGTGACAGATATCTCTGCCAGTGGAGCGAATGGAGTCCAACGGCGTCATGGGTGGCAGAGGAGGCCGGCAGAGGTATATTTTTTTTAGAGTGAACTGTGTTTTCTGTAAACTAAATGATACAAGTTAATTTAGTTAGACCCGCCCCTGCATCTTCCCGATTGGACGCAATTAATTAAAATCCTCGAAAGACTAGCTGAGACCCCTCGCCATTGGTCAAACTATTTTCTCCTCAAGAAAATGTTACTGGTGCTGCTTATTCCAAGGGGAGGGACTGTTTGAAATGTATTTGTTATGATTTTCTTTTTGATTTAGACAATACTACAGGGTCATATGGTCAACAATATATTTGATTTTCCAAATTAACTACAATTGAAGTTGCAGACGTTTCCTTTAATGCTGGAGTTCCTGACTTTGAAACCACAAAAGATTCTGCTAAAAAAGGTTCTTTTCTCTCAATGCATTTTGGTTCTATATCGCTATAGTTTTCACATGCTATAGTTTTCACATGCATGTATTATTGGTCTCACAGTTTTAGATAAGTTTGTTTGGGCTAATCAGCTCTCAGTTTGAAAAGTTTGAATTTTTTCTACTCAGATAAACATTGCATGTTGCGGTTGTTCACAAAATGTTATTTAAACAACATGCTTTCTGTCAGTGGAAGCAAAATATGTTTACAAAACAACAAGTAAACCCTCCAGCTTTAACCCTTTATGTGCCAAAATAACAGAATTTCTCCTGAATCCACAGTAGAACAAAATGTTCCCTACATTTTCATATTTTGTTTAGTGTTACTGTTTTAGATTTTAGAAGTTCTTTATCACTTTTATACTGTAAGTTTACGGGCTCCATCTTTTTTGATATTTCCTATTACATTTCTGGGGAGGATTAGGGTTAGTTCTGTAAACCAACTTACACTTTTATTTGTTATAATGTTGAGAATACACTCACAGCCGGAAAAAAACAAATAAAACATCACACAAAATTATAATAGTACGTAATCTTTATTTATATAGGGAATATAGAAAATAGGAAAATGGGCTGTAAGCCTTATTTATTAAAATTATAACAAAGTCTTGGCATAAGTCGCTTTACATGTGATGAGTCTGTATCATTTTGATTTCACTTTTGAAGTTGAAATACAGAAATAAACACAACATTTTAACAATATTTTTTTTTGTTTCAGTCTCTTCAGGTTTAAATCCGGCCCAATCGACTGTCTTCATCTTTTTGATCTCGGCGCTCAGCTTGGGACTGTCCTGTGTTTCAGTTCTGATCCTTTACAAGTGCTGCCCCCAAAAAAGGTGAGTGGCGTAAATCCTCAAAGATGCCATTTAACTGTTCCCTAACTCACCACATGATGTCACTGTTGTTCAAGGCGTCTGACATACAAGATGCTCCCGAATCCTTCCAAATACTTCTACACTCTGCAATCAGTTCACGGAGGAAACCTGAAGGTGAGTGATATAAACATATATCCAGTTCAGGACCCACTTTTATGAAAACTTGTCCACAAACCAAGTGGAATTCCAAAATACTTTTATAACGTCTCTTTTGATAACCAACAGAAATGCCCATATTTTTGAGAAATTGCCATAATTTTGAGAATGTTTAGTTTTTTTGTGGTTGTGTGAAGCCAGTTATGATGTAAACGAGTTTTTAAGAAAATGACCCCGATTAGAAGTTTCCATCCCCCAGTTCTCAGAGCGTGTATTTCCCCTTCTACCACATGTCTTTTGTGGTGTATGTGGATGAGGTTCTTTATCCTGTGCTTGCGTATGTGCGTGTGTATGAGTGTGTGTGTGTCGTATTTCTTTATGATTGTGTTTTGTTTGAGGGGGGATTGTTCATACCATAAGGGTAAGGGCTTCATCCAACCCCTTTTTGAACTATGTGCTTGTTGATCTGTTGATATAAGTTTAATTTATTCTTTATTTTGAAACAGTGCACAGTAACATTACTCTCAAAGACAGAAATATTCTGCACCAGATCATAGCTACACAGCTCATTTCCATCTGCAATCCCCGGTGTGTGTGTGAAAATGTGATGCAGGTGTTACACTTCTTTGAATGATGGGCCAACTCATTCATGTGCAGCACATTTAAAATTTAATTCAGGCTCTGCAAAACACGTAAAACAGACATTGAATGCAGGAGCTCACTCGGTGCAGTCTCATCACGTTAAGTACTAACTGTACTTCTCCTATACATTTAAGTATAATTACACACATAAATACTGTAATGAAATCTCTATCTGCAATATGATCAAAACACACACAAAAAAAACACATTCCTCTCAATATTATTAATTATAGATACTGTTCTAATATTTCCCAGCTCACAATCATGTCATTACCAGTATGAAGTCACATTGTATGGAGCAGCCATTCCCAAACTCAGTAACACCGAGGCCCCCTTAAAAATCTGACGGGTCTGCGTGGCCCCCCAAAATAATAACCAAGAAGACAACATTAAGAATAGGCCTTTCTGGTTATTTTATTTTGGGGAAATAGCCTCTGCTACAAACATTGTAATACAAAAATGATTACAGTGGATTATTCAAGTCAAATAATGAACACAAATATTTTAATATTACAAACAAAACATTATAAATTTAACATTAAATAATTATATTATCATTTTTATTTTTTTTATGACCTCCCGCGGCCCCCCTGCAGTACCCTCGCGGCCCACCAGGGGGCCGCGGACCCCACTTTGGGAGACACTGGTATGGAGAATACGCTCTGCCCTATCACATTAGTCATGCAAGTCCACCTATCTCACCTTGACAAAGGACCCGTGTTTTATTTTAAATAAACTCTAAATTCAGTTTGACTCTTAAGAAACATGTTAACATTGAGCCATCTTTAACCACTATCAAATATACAATTCTTACAAAAAAATACAGTTTCAGATACGTTTGTGGCCGTTGTCTCGCGACTACCAACGGTTACACTGTTGACTCGCGGCAACCCCAACAGATACAATCACCCCAAAGTATCCCTTTTGCCCCTTTAGCTCAATCAAAGGCACTCAAAGCTGTACACAATACATGTCACCACTGTTAGCCATCATCTGTGTGTTTTTAACAAACCAGCCTACCTGCAAAACACGTAAAACAGACATTGAATGCAGGAGCTCACTCGGTGTAGTCTCATCACGTTAAGTACTAACTGTACTTCTAGCGTTGCCCCGGCAGCAACCACTAGTGAAAGCACCAAGCACCCTCTGCTGGCGGAACCAAGCATTGCATTTCAAAATTATGTACAATAAAACGGTGGTTATAAAATAAAACTATGGGGTGCAACTATTATGGTATGTAATAATATTACACAGGGCTACACAGGTTTCAATTAACATATGATATTTATGGTATGATACTCTGCAAGTGTTCAAAATAAATATATTAATAAACACATCTAAATGGCTTCACACAACCAGTATCAATGTGCAGTTTGTGTTGTCATTCCTAATCTTCAAGGTATATCTATCTAATCCCTTTTCAAACTGTATTTTTCAAATTCATCTTAATAATAAAAGTTGAAATAAACTCTTACTTACATACTCTATCTAAAACGCTTTGCCTGGGTGTGTAAACTTGGAAGCTGTATGTTTTGTTCAGACATGGATCAGTCCGCGGCCAGTGTCCAGCTGCTTCTTCTTGCCTCATCCCTGTGTGGACCTCTGCTCCGTGGAGCTGTGTGAGTCTAAGGACGTGGCGCCTTCCGGTCCTCCCTGCCTCCCCCCTGCACTCGTCCATTCCCTGGCTGAGTTTGACCCCTTCTCCTCCTGCTCCTCCTCCTGCTTCTCAAACATGGACTACTTCATGTCCAGCAGCGAGAACAGCTCGGCTCAGACTCGCACCAGACCGTTCTTTAGCGACCAGAGCAGTGTCCTGACCTCAAACAGGAGGCCCCACCTGTCGTTATCCCCGTCCATCCTCTCCTCGTCCATCTACGAGAGCCTGAAGCAGGAGCCACAGAGCCCGGACTCTGGCTTTGGCGTGGGGAAGTTTGAAGAGCAGGAGAACCAGAGCTCTCCACTCCTCTCTCTGGCCCTGACTGTCTCATCTCCTGTATACACTTCCGATGAGACCCTGGTGCTCCATAACCAGGGCATGGATGAACACACAGGTCCCAATGAGGACCTGGGCTGGCCGGTCACTGAGCCCATGTGTAGGGCCTCTTCTTTACCCGTGGACCCGGGTAAAGCAGGCTATCTCACGCTCAAAGACCTGCACGCCACGTTCAGCAACAGATCCATATGAGCGTGTGACATCATGAGTTGAGCATTATCAAACTATGAGAAGGTTCAATGCATATGTGAATCTTTATATAAGTTTTTTATTAACTGGTGTTGTCTCTTTGATTGTGCATGGTGTATACAACTTATTATGAGGCAGTGATGTCAATTCTTTTACTTTTGAACACATTGTAAAAAGTTGTGCAAGATGCATGAGTCAAGCCGAAATCACAATTTGACAGGTCGCAAATAGAAAAATGCAAAGACTGCAATCATAAAAAAAAAAAAACTGTGACTCTGGTCTGTGAAAGACGCTATATAAATAAAGATGACTTACTTACTTACTGACTTATCTAAATTCTTTGCATTAAAGATATACCATGTTTTTTTATGAGAAATTCCTGATTATTCTAGTTAAAAAGTATTTTCTTTGACCTAGACTAATGCAAATGTGACATAAAATTGACATTGTTTTGAAATGTACAGGATTTTCTGTTTCTTTGACAGTTTAATAATTTTTTTTGTCCACTTCACCAGAGTGATGTTCCTGGTGGTTTGTCCTAGCCTGGTCTTACCATACCATCGTACTCCTTTCATTTCATACTTGGAAATGATTGTTGACTGGAGTTTACGGTTGGCTAAAGGCCAGTTTATCGCCATGGAACAATATATTTTGACTTAGTGTAAACTGGCTGCTGTTTTTCTCTGTGTGTTTTTACCATGGATGTATTATATTAACGGTTTTTACTCATTGTTGCCTATTCACTGTAATCTGAAATAACATTTGAGGTTTCTTTTGGGTTAATAAAGTTGTGGCAATGGGAGCTCTGTGGGTCTGGGCATTGGTGTTGTCTCTGGTTTCAGTCTCTTCACACTAACAATAGAAAACTAGACTAAACTAGATATTAATGGATAGATCGTGTCTTTAAATCAAGTATTTATTTCTAATGATACATTTACAGCTGCATGTACAGTAAGTATAAATGTGACTTATTCAATGCCTTCAAAGGTTGAGCTGAAATACAGATTACTTACGTAATCATCTGTCAATGTAGTAAGTAAAAGCTGTCATAAGAGGGCGCTGTACTTTTAAGCTATTAACCATATTTTACACATTTTTCACTTAATAATACTGATAATGATGATGCATCGGGTTTACATATAGCACTTTTAGGACATTCAAAGACGCTTCAGAAGTCATTATTCACTCACTCCACACACGGTGGTCATGAACTACTACTGTAGCCGCAGCTGCCTGGGGGCACGCTGACAGAAGTGAAGCAACCACGTGCCATCGACCGCTCCAACCACCACCAACCATTCACACAGCACCAGACTTTCTCTCCATTAAAGATGGGGTATTTAACGTCGACAAAAAAAAAAACAATGCAATAAAATCTAACCATAGTTTCATAACCACCCTCACTCAGCCTTAGCCCAAAGCATCAAATAGTAACTCATAAGGCTATTTCTCACAAGTCTGAGAATGAAAACATGTTTTAAAATAAGACAATGATCTGTTTTGTCCACACACACTTCCATTTGTACAATACTTGTTCTGTTGGGGCAAGCAAAACAAAATTCAGGGACCCCAGCTTTAAGATCTGCCAGTCAGTGCTTCTTCATCTCATCTTGACATCATAAACATCTTTAAAATCTTTTATACTCCCACACAGTCTCGTAAAAACCAAACAGACTTATCCAAATAAACTCTGAAACGTCTGTGGGACTTTAAACCCGTTAGTAGATTGGAGCAGACATACCAGAGACACCGGAGTCTAAAGAGTGAGGGAATTGTGGGAAAACACAGTTACTTGAAGTTCTAAACAAAGAAGGCTGAAATAACATCTGCTGAAGCAAAGGGACGTCACTGTACCTCAGCCAGGGCCGCACCCAGGGTCAGAGAGGACTGCAGCCTCCAGAGGTCAGAGGACCCACCCTCCGTCTGGAAAGATCATCACAATCATTCTAGATGGGTCACAGAACACATTTGACGTAGAAATGTTTTGTATTCCCATTGGTTCATGAGGCAACTAACCAGTAAGTACTCCATAGAGTTCAGATATTGTCACATTCTCTCCACACAGTGATGACAGAAGCCCCCAAGTAACACCAGCCATTCACTCATTACATTCACACCCATAAGTGTGAGGGTTTTAGTGGTAGGGGAAACCAGAGCACCTTGAGAAAACCTACGCAGGCACGGGGAGAACATGCAAACGCCATACAGAAAGTCCCTGTACCGACCAGGATTTGAACCTGCTAACCACTCAGCCATCTTGGGATTTCAATCGAAGCAAATGTGTTGGTCAACCTTGTTTTACATGGCCGCATCTTTTCAAAATGAACAGGACTAATTTGCTTATATTGTGGTGCAAGCGGGAGCTGAAACAGGGGACTATTTTAAATGTTATGAGCTGAACTTCTGTGTTTGTTACCTTGATACTCAATGTAGTATCGTAGAATACCAGTATAAGTTTGATTTCTTCAGCAGGTTCAGCAGTGACAAAAACACAGGTAACATTTGAGAAAAGAGAACATCTGAGGCACTCTTGACAGTATTGATATGAAGAAGAACTAGGTTTGATGTATTTTTATCTGAGTGGAGCAATGGTTTGATTCCACCTCCAGACAAGGATTTTCTGTGTGGAGTTTGTATGTTGTGTTTATGGTTTCCTCCGGGTGCTCTGGTTTCCCCTACCACTAAAACCGTGTACAAAAGATCCTGCATTCACCTCCTGTATGACGGCCCCACTCCCATCTCTACGTGGTGTGAGAGGAAAAAGCCTACAACAATAATAAAGGGCCTTGTGACTGTGTGTGTGAAAGGCATTATATACAGTGCCTTGCGAAAGTATTCGGCCCCCTTGAACCTTTCAACATTTCGCCACATTTCAGGCTTCAAACATAAAGATACAAAATTATAATTTTTTGTCATGAATCAACAACAAGTGGGACACAATCGTGAAGTGGAACAAAATTTATTGGATAATTTAAACTTTTTTAACAAATAAAAAACTGAAAAGTGGGGCGTGCAATATTATTATCTGCAGTTCATCCAGAGTGATCATAGGCCTCTTGGCTGCATCTCTGATCAGTCTTCTCCTTGTTTGAGATGAAAGTTTGGAGGGACGGCCGGGTCTTGGTAGATTTGCAGTGGTCTGATACTCCTTCCATTTCAATATAATTGCTTGCACAGTGCTCCTTGACATGTTTAAAGCTTGGGAAATCTTTTTGTATCCAAATCCAGCTTTAAACTTCTCCACAACAGTATCTCGGACCTGCCTGGTGTGTTCCTTTGTCTTCATGGTTCTCTCTGCGCTTTAACCAGAACCCTGAGACTATCAAAGAGCAGGTGCATTTATACAGAGACTTGATCACACACAGGTGCATTCTATTTATCATCATCAGTCATTTAGGACAACATTGGATCATTCAAAGATCCTCACTGAACTTCTGGAGTGAGTTTGCTGCACTGAAAGTAAAGGGGCCGAATAATATTGCACGCCCCACTTTTCAGTTTTTTATTTGTTAAAAAAGTTTAAATTATCCAATAAATTTCGTTCCACTTCACGATTGTGTCCCACTTGTTTTTGATTCATGACAAAAAATTTAAATTTTATATCTTTATGTTTGACACCTGAAATGTGGCGAAATGTTGAAAGGTTGAAGGGGGCCGAATACTTTCGCAAGGCACTGTAAATGAGAATTACTTTCAATTGTGTTGTTTCAAAAAGGTTTTGTTGTGTTGATTGGGATATAAACAATAAAAACTTCATGCATATTTAAAAGAAAATTGTTAAGAGCGGAATATCAACATATAAATTGCAATAGTGAATACTGCTATAAATGTCACAATTATGAACATATATGACACAGCAGTGTTGGGAGTAATGTGTCAGAAAAGTTATGTAATTACTGTAATGTATAATGTATACCATGCTACTGCAAGATCAGCAGAGGAGAACAAATCTGCACCAATAGCAGTGTTTTTCCTTTCTGATAGAAGATGGCTGTAGCAGAAGCAGAAGCATGCACTGTCAGAAAATATTACATTTTCAAGATGGACATACTCCCATTATTTTGAGTTTTTTGGAGACAAAAACATTCACAACATAATGGTTAAGAGCACTTTAGGGTGGCACGGTGGCTGAGTGGATAGCGCTCTCGCTTCTCAGTAGGAAGGTCCTGGGTTCGAATTCTGGTCACAGTAGGGCTTTTCCGAGTTTGCATGTTCTCCCCATTTCTGCAGGTGCTCCGCTTTCCCCTGCCACTAAAAACATGTACAATAGGCCTGGCATGTGCCTCCTGTTCTGCAACCTCACTCCCATCTCTGTGTGGAGTGAGAGACAAATGGTGTTGTCTATGATGGAGGTGACTTTGGTTAGCACCCTCCTGTCCCTCACCTCCTCCACAGAGTCCAGGGTCAGCCCAGAGTGGAGCTGGCCCTCCTGACCAGCTTGTTCAGTCTACTCCTGTCCCGCTCTGTGCTGCCCGGGGCCCAGCACACGGCAGCGTAGTATATGGCAGAGGCTACCACAGAGTCATAAAAAGTACTGAGCAGAGGCCTGCTCACTCCGAAGGAGTGAATATTATCAAACTATGTGAATGTTTGATATTAACATAGTTTGTATTAACTTGTGGTGTCTCTTTGATTGTGCAGGGTGTATAGAACTAATTATGAAGCAGTGATGTACGTTCTATGTTTTTACTTTTGAACACATTGTAAATAGTTGTGCAAGAGTCAAGCCGAAATCACAATTTGACAGCAATCTTTTTTTTTTTTTAAACAAACAAAAAACGTTGACCTTTCTTGTGCAGGGCTTGTGTTATGGGACCAGTCCAGTTTATTGTTAATGTGAACACCCAGGTACTTGAAGCAGTCCACCAGCTCAATGTCCTCCCCCTGGATGTTCAGCAGCGTGTGGGAAGTTGATCACCATCTCCTTGGTCTTACTGGTGTTCAAGCACAAGTGGTTGCGCTCACACCAGTCGACAAAGTCCGTGATAAGACCGGTATTCCAGTTCGTTCCCCTCAGACACACAGCCTCAGACATATAGTATGTATGTATATATTTGTTGAAAGTAATGCAGAAGTAGTGTAATGCTTTACAAGTCAGAAAGTTACATTGTAGTGTAACACATTATTTTGAAATAACAGTAACAACGTAACAGTAACGATACATAATGTATTACATTTTTGAAGTTTACAACTTGCCCAACATTGCACACCAGACACCAGTTTTGTCTCTTCTAACATTGTGCCCTGTACTTACCCTCTGTGCTTCTCCTATTGTGGAGTGCAACTCCATCTGCCTCAGCCTGAATACTTTTGCACATTTCTTTTCTTGTTTTTGGATCTGCACTGGACTTGTACTGGACTCCCCTGGGAACACGAGCTAACTTCCTGAGAACAAGAGATAGTGGATGTTTATGTTCTGAGTAAATGGCTGTGAGCTGTGTTTTCACATCAGTGCTTTTGGTTTAGGTTTAGGTTGTCAGCAGGAGGAATGCAGTCTGATGTAACGGCACAGTGGCCTTCAGGACACATGGGCAATAACACTAACCAGCTGGAGGCTCAACAGTGAAGCTGACCTCTCACCAACATTCAGCATCACACTTTAAAGAGGTTGTTAGATTTGTTTTGACGCTTCCTGATCCTGTTTTATGTCATTTATGTTCATTTTTTACAAAAGTTCTTGGCTTTGAATGAGAAATTTGAATGCACAAACTTCTCTCAGAAGATTAATGTACAAATATAGGAAAGGCAATAGCACAGTTCATACTCAAGGCAACTCAAAGTGCACAAAACAAGACAGAAAAAAACACACAAGGCATTAAAATCATAAAAAATCTGCATACATTTCAAAACAGTAAAGATAAACATAAAATCCCTCAGTTATACATATGTACAGTTAAACAGAAGTGTTTTAACTTGAATTTAAACAAGATCAGAGAAGAAGCCAGTCTCTAATTTTCAGGAAGATTGTTCCAGATTTTAGCTGCGTGAATCTGAAATGCTGCCTCCCCATGTTTAGTGCTGACTCTGGGCACCAGCAGGAGGCCTGTGCTCCTCAGAGTCCAACTTTGTTCATACCGCACTAACATGTCCCATTATTTATGAATCGGCTATATATCTCTATACAAGTGAAACTGAAGATCATTATTTCTGTAACTCAACCTAAAATGAGAAACCATTATATGAGACTGTGAGCCAATTATCAACATTATCACAGATAAAGGCTTGATATATATCGCTTACTGTAACGCATCTGTCATGAATTAATTGCACATAAGTTGAACTACAGAAGTCTTTTGAACGTTATTGTAATTTTCCCAATTTTCACTTGCATATAACACTTAATTCAACCAATGGCACCTATGTGTTTGTTTTCATTGGATTCCTGATCAGAAAATCAAACTGTTTGATTATCTGATCTGGTGTTGGCAAATTGACAACTTCCCGCAGACTGCTATTGTGATTAAGAAATAAATAATAGAAACATAAATTACAGAAAAAAAGAAAAATGACGTGTTGCGTAAGTTTATATTGTCCATGATCATGATTTTACGCACTTCAAATTGGGTTGACGAGTAAATTAGGATTTTGGAAGCCACTGAAAATGGGTGAATGGTTTTTTTTTTTTCTTCAGTCAAGTTCACGTGGAGGTCTTGGATCACGCACTTGCACTGTTTGTCCCTGGCACTGCGTCAAGAATAGACTAACATTTGTAAGTACTGCATTCTGTCCGAAATGTTGGCCATTTGTTCGTTTGGACAGTATTTTCCTATTGGCATCCATCTTTTTCTCACAAGCTGAATAAACAGGTCTTGGTGCTGTCGCTTTGGAACAACCTTCACGCACTGCACTTTTGAACGCGCATTTGTTCCATCATGGCCAACCAATCAAGGCAAAACTAAATCCTTTCCTTATGCTCTTAGTTCCTCTGTCATCTGAACCTTTTTCCATCTCTGCTTTTAGCCTCCTTCCCCCCACGAAGGCGCGCTCCGGTTCAGATGTATGGAGGAGGGATGGAGGAGCGCACGGATCCAGCCCAGCGGAAGTTCACAGGCGCCTCCATCTCCACATCTTCCTGCACAAGTTCACTCAAACCGGGGGAAACACGCGGTATTGGATGGCGGACAAGCATCGTTGAAATTTCCATGACTTTTGCTCATCCGTTACTTTTCACTGATTTGTTGTGAGGCTTGGAATGAGTTTGGCACCTTTTTGCCTTTACGCGCGTCAATGATCACTCCAAGGAGCACTAAAAGTTGAGATATCGACTTTACCCGTTGTGTTTACTTGTTGACGTTGCAAGACGTTCCCAGGATCGCCTGAGGAGTGACTGCAGTTTTTTTTTCTTCTTTTCTTTTTGCATAAGAAGGAAAAGCTGCTGACTCAGGGGAATACGCTCACCTCCTCCGCACGACTGGAGCAGCCAAACGCGAGGTGAGATTATATGGATCTAGAACACAAGGCAGTGACCGCAACTTTATTTCACGGACTTTTATTATGCAATATCAGTTTTTGGTTTATCAAATGTGTTTATACTTTGCATTGAGCTGCTTTTGTTGAGTAAACGTGGCAAACAGTGAGTCACTTGCCTTTAGTCACAGTGTTGGGGAAAAAATGCACTATAGTAAAGTTTTAAGATTGTATTGAGATGAAGGGATCCTTTATTGATATGGGGAAATTCCAGTGTTGCATCACAAGTTACAGAACAGTAGGAATGAGGAGCACACAGCACAAGTGAATATTTAGTATAGCACAAACTTAAGAAGTAAAATCATTTATCTGTAACTTTAGCTTTAGCTTTAAGAAACAAAATATAGACATAGATATAACCCTGTCAAGTAAAACACTCAAATAGTAAAGTAGTAAGAAGTATCTGTTGTAAGAAAAAACAACTAAAAGGATATTTGAAATGTGGTCATCTGTATGCATGCAGAGTGCTGATATTTGGGCAACATATGGGCAATTTATTTTCAATGTTTCATATTGTGTTTCCTTAGAATTTGGATTTTGTTATTTTTTTCAGATAAAAGTTTTTTTTTTTGCAATACCATGGTACTTTCAGTTCCGTTAAAACAAGTAGTAAGGGCAGATGACACTTGTGTAAACATTTGAACATTTTACTGTAGTGAAACTTTACAACAAGTAGCATTCTGTGCCTTTAACCCTTTGATGTTCACTCCTTTAAAAAAGCAATGTCATTTATTTCTATAGGAACACAAATAAGGTGGGTTTTTATTGACTTTACCAAAAGGTTGAGAAAAATGGGATCCTTCTTGATGCAAAAACAAAAACTAATTTAGTTACTTCCGGATTATAAGCCTCTATTATTTTCTATTTCATATATGGGCATATATAGCGATGCAGCTAATATATGAATTTTAATTGTGTTAGTGTTGTCAGAGCAGATTTTATGATTAGATACTTATTATTTTGACTTGGTCAGCTATAGGTCACTCGTTTATTGTCAAAACAGACTGGTGAAGGAGTGCTGGATTGGAAGCTTACGGTTACGGTTAAAACTGTCGTCTATTTGCTAAATTACACCATGAAAAACCTGCAGCTTATATTCAAGTGTGGCCTATATGTGGAGAAAAGGAACTTTATTTTCAAATGTGGGTGGTGCAGTTTATACACAGGTTTGCCTAAAACCAAGTGATAGAGATGCCCCAATGAGGTAGATTTCAGTTCCAAGCTTTAATGTAGGGACTAAAAAAGCAATCCACCAAACATTGAAGGGTTACATGGACACTTTTGGTAAGTTACATAACCGCCCTGGTCAGTAGGACATCCAAGTCATACCAAACAAAGAATGGTGGTTTTCTGCATAACCCTGGTGGTTGAGGTCAGACTCTGAGGACACATAACAACTCAAAATGAACTGTGCAAAGTTAATTTGTCCTGCCAAGAATGCTTTCTGATTAGAGGGTTGTTCTGTCATGTTTGCAGCTGTATCCGCTTTAGCCTCTTGGCTCACAATTCAGAGTTAGGCTGCAAAATATGATATTAAATCATTTGGCTTGTGGAGTGCACTGCATTCTGTTTGTGCATAGCTTAATGTGATGCATGGACAGAAATGCTTCTGATCTGTGTGGGAAAGTCCTCGTAAAGGCCAAACGTTTAGACAATTCCTCTGTGATGTAACACTAGTCTAAAATGGATAGAATAGCAGAACCTTTTTATGAGTCCTGCATGATCTGGGTCCTGGTCTGAGTCCTGGCCTGGCCTGGGTCTGGGTCCTGGTCTAAGTCTTGATCTGAGTCCCTGTGTGTGTCCTGGTCTGAGTCTTGGTCTGAGTCCTGGCCTGGGTCTGAGTCCTGCCTTGAACTAGGTCCTGGTCTGGTTCCTGGTCTGAGGCCTGGTCCTGGTGTGAGTCAAGGTCCTGGTCTGGGTTCAAGTCCTTGTCCCATGCAGTCCCCATGCATGTACCATATATCCCTTCTATTGTTAACTGGTTGCAGAAGAGGCAGAAGCTGATGCGGTCTGTGACCATTTATTTGTGATCTCTCATTGCTCCAGAACTTTAAAACAAACTTAAGTTTTGGGGCATTACACAAACATGGTCCGACAAACTGCAATCTTACACCCCAACAAATCCAGGGCCGGCTCTACCACATAAGCTGATAAAGAATAAGGCCCCATGAATGGTACAGGTGTATTAGAAGACAGAATTAAATTTTTTAGAATTGAATTTATTTTTTGTATAGATGTAAATCACAACAGCAGTCGTTTCGGAGGACTTTAGGATGTTGTAAATTCGCCAACAAGAGATCAGAGAACGAGCGACTCAAAAAAAAAAAGGATATAAAAACATGAGAAACATAGAGAGAGATCCACTCACACAGAGGGACAGGCAATAGATCAAGGACTCAGGCTTTCTCCCACAGGACTCACAGAAATATTTTCAACCAACAATAATAACAATAAGATAAGATGAGAGGACCTTTATTGTCCCACAGTGGGGAAATACCAGCGTCATCGTTGAACACATTACAGTAGGAGTAAGAACGCACAAACAAGATAATCAAACATCAAACAAGGTAAATATCTGTTATTTAAGATCATGCATAATAAACTCTAGTCTCTCAATTTGAACATAAAATTGTATGGAGTCTGAGCTGAGCCATAGAACTAAAGCTATAATTGCAGTTGGTAGACAGTAGTTTAGTTAAGTACACTCAAAAAGCAGTTAGCAGTCTGGGTTTCAGATGGAATGGTGATTATAGCAGCATATGATACAGAATAAATAATAGTGGGTGAAGTGACTTTTGTCATTGGACTCACAGAAGCTCTGTATTTTAGCTACATTCTTACATTTCTACAGTATTGCACGATATTGCTACAGGTGAATGACATAATGAAAAACATGGGATATGATCTCTATAACTTTTATATTAGAATTCTGCAGAATGAAGTAGCTGAGATGTGAGTTGTCTGCTCAAGTGGCCGGAGCATTTCAAATCTACAGCATCAGTAATGAATCAGAATATGATGATGTCAAGAAATACACAGAGATGCTTAATTGAATGGATTTTTAATTAGATAATTATGGGTTGAGGGATTTAGACACAAACTTGATTTGTTCCGCCGCCGGATTTAAACATGATTAACCAAAAGTGGGTTAGTGTTGGGGTATAAAGTATAAAAGTGTTTAAAACTCATCTTTGTCTGTTATGGAAGCCCGTTTCCGCCATGTAAAAATAATAAAAAAACCTACAGAAAGTCATAATTTTGAGTTTTAGATTATGACTTTCTGTAGGCTTTTTTTTTTTTTTTTTACCTGAACATTTTTAATTATTTTTTTTTTTACATTATGAAGGTATTTTGACTAAACTATTACTTTAATTCATCCCGATTTTGGATTCTTTTCTGATCAATTTTTAAGAACAAAATGAGATCCGTTTCTGTATGTATGGACTGAACCAAAGTTATAAGTTATAAGATTGGCCAACTATTGGGTTCAAATTTCAGAATAAAAAAATGATCTGTTATTGGAAACATTAGCTTTAACCATCAATGCTGCAATTTCATAGTAATAATAATATTAAAAAATCACTTCAAATGCCACTAAAACCAGTTTGGCGGGCTGTGGGCACTTGTGGATTAGAATGACAGTTAAATGTTTGTCTTTCCCATAGTTTTCAGCACAGCACAGTCAGGCCACATCAGCTACATTTAACGATCAGGTTTACTTTGACCATTTTACTGATACATGCAAGTGTGGACTCATTACAAACTCCATGTATATGTTTTTTCCCCCAGTGGCTGTGATTGGCAGCGATCCAAGCCTTTTGCAAACCATGCCGCTCTCAGCCTCCCGCCTCATGTTGGCTCTGGCAGATTTACGAAGTCATAAATACATGTTTGTCTCCACAGACAGAGGCCTGAACCGATTTCTCCCTGATGAAGTGTGCTGCTGCTGCGGGAAAACCTTCCACAGCTAATTGGACATAAATAACAAGCTGCCCACGGAATCGTTTAAGTGAGATTTATTAGCCAATCATAATTTAGTAACTTCCCATTTATCTGAGCTCTGCACTTTTGGGCTGTATGTCACCGTTCTGCAGTATTACGCTGACCTCCAAGCATCTCCTGCTCATTTTAGAGCATTCAGGTGTTTATGTGCCGCCAGCTCCTTCCTCACCGTGATTTATCGTTCTTGATCTTCTCTTCCAGCGTTTTTCTACTGGCTACAAACTGTTTACTTTGGCACCACTCAAGGATTAAGTTCCCATTTGCAGTGCAGGGAGTGACTTTAAGGACAGATGACCTTATCTTCCACTTATGCTGCAGTTTACGAGCATTTTATAAATATTACCTCGTTGTATTAAGTGGTCGGACTGGGATTCTGTTCAAAGCATGTTCCAAAAGAAATAGATCTACTGTTGAGTGCAACTGTCGAGGATTTTTGCAGTCGACTTTGTTCAGATTAGTTGACTATATTTATTTAGTGACTTTGGAGACTGCCACAAAAAGAATTATATATCAGTTAAAGTGGGAATCAATTAGGCTATTCAAAAGCTTGATAGACAACTGAGGCCCCTCTCCATTGGTTAAACTATTCTCCTCCAGCCAATCTGGTGATGCTTATTCCAAGGGGAGGGACTGTTTTAAATATATGTATTATACGGCACGGTGGCTGAGTGGATAGCACTCTCGCCTCTCAAAAAGAAGGTCCTGGGTTCGAATCCCGGTTGGACCAGGGCCTTTCTGAGTGGAGTTTGCATGGTCTCCCCGTGTCTGCGTAGGTTTCCTCCGGGTGCTCCGGTTTCCCCTACCACTAAAAATATGTACAATAGGTCTGGCATGTGCCTCCTGTACTGGCACCCCCACTCCCAAAAATAACAATTGTAAACTGCTTTGAGACTCCGACGTGCAATGAAAAGGCGGTATATAAATAAAGATTACTAAATTACTTACATGATACAAAAAGGTCTAGTGAAAGGTATAGTGAAAAATAATTGAAGTTGCAGACAGCACCTTTAATGCATGAATGACAAATAAAAGTTCTACAAATTATATTATTAGCATTCTTTAATTCAAAGGACATTGATATCTGAGCTACATGTGACTTTTTTATTTAAATAGAAACAGTGTAATTACATGTTTTACAGTAATACATCATTGTGTCTCAGTCTGTATGGTTCAGATAATGACTTTAAAAATGACACAAAAATGGTATTACCAGAGAGAGAGTTCACATTATTTCACTGGCCGCCTCTAAGTACTGAGATGGAAGTGATAGCTTACTTCACTTCAGAACTGATTTGAGAACAATCCATGTGGACCAGATCTGTAAGAACATCTGTTAAGAGAGTAGTACACGTGTTTAGCATCAGAAGAAGGCTGATTCATCACTCTGCTGTTGCTTGTGTTCTAGACAGCTGCACCATGTTGGGCCCCATGCTTGTCCTGTCCCTGTTCTGCGCTGTGGCCCCGGGGCCTCCTCCTTCAGGTGTGTGTCGGCGCTGCTGTGACCACCTGGAGCCACCAGAGGGCACCAGAGAGCGCCCCGGCAGGTTAGGCCACGTGCCAGAAGTGCGCACCTTCATCAACATGACCATCCTCAAAGGTAACAAGCATGGGTCTGTTGGGGTACAAATGACCAGTGTAGTGACCATGTGGGGACCAGTGTATTGACCATGTAGTAACCAGTCTAGTGACCATGTGGTGTCCAGTGTAGTGACCAGTATAAAACAGGCCAGTGTAACGCAGTAAGCTGTAAAACCGTGGATGGATGTGAATAGTGTAGTTTCAGAGTCAAATCAGTCAAACAGGTATAACTATATAATATAAACACATTCAAGTATACAAGATATTGTGTTTAAACCAAGGGCAATATGCTTTTCAGTAAATATTGCACAAGAATGAACAAAATGTAATCAATTGCATGAGATCTGATATACGTTAACATGTTTACACGAGGACTCCCAGAATTCTGAAACTACTAGAACTCCCCATGCAGTCATTTAGACTGCTCCCATGCAAAAATAATGGATTTCTGAAAAAATCCACCCAAAAATATGTAATTTCCACCAGATTTGTTTCTTTGCTCACATTTAATAAGTGCTAAAACTGGTGAATAGAACTTTAATATAGCAAAAACTGCAAAAACTGAATGCTGCAAGTAAACAGTGTGTTGCTATGGTAACTAGCACTTCCTCTTGACTGGGTGTTACTCACATAAAAAAATAAAATAATAATAATTTAATGATAAAGACATGAAATAAGTACACTTATAAAGTCATAAAGTACAGTTATAAAGTCATTAAGAAAAGTTCCAAAAGTTCTGAAGACCACAATGAGCTGAGTAATTACGCATCCAAAACTAAAAGCTGTCAAATTGACTGCTCTGAGACATACAATATTATATTATAAAAATGTTTACTTACTAGCGATTCATCTAAATTCCAACTGAAAGTAATTCTGATGAATGTAAAAAGGTTTTGTTTAATCCGTAACTTAAGCTAGTGACAATGATAGCATGTACACACTGTCGTCCACTACCCCCTTGTGCCACTAGATGGAGTCATGAGGTTTTTTTGCAGGTGACAAAGGCGATCGAGGTGACAGAGGCACAGCAGGTAAAGTGGGGATGGACGGCCCTCCTGGATCCAGAGGCCCCACAGGCTCCAAAGGCTCCAAGGGTCAGGCCGGTGCTCCGGGGGATCCCTGCAAAGCCCAGCACTCTGCGTTCTCGGTGGGCCGCCGCAAGTCCCTGCACAGTCTGGAGACCTACCAGGCGCTGATCTTTGACACCGTCTTTGTGAACATGGACGAACACTTTAACATGTTTGACGGAAAGTTCACCTGCCAAATCCCGGGCATTTACTTCTTTAACGTCAACATTCACACGTGGAACTTCAAGGAGACTTACCTGCACATCATGTTGAACGACGGCGAGAAGGCCATCGTCTACGCCCAGCCCAGCGACCGCTCCATCATGCAGAGTCAGAGCATCATGTTGGAGCTGAAGGCCAAGGACGAGGTCTGGGTCCGACTGTACAAGAGAGAGAGAGAGAACGCCATCTACAGCGACGACGTGGACGTTTACATAACCTTCAATGGATACCTCCTTAGAGCTATCAATTAGAAACGACTACAGTACACTTCAACGATTGATAAGAAATTACGGACATTGGGGACAAACAGAATTTCTGGTGCTAAAAACGTCTAGCTCAGGAATGTCAAACTGATCTTGGCCGGGGCCAAGTTTAATATTATAAGAGCTGGTTGGGACCAAAGTCTAAAAATTGTTTACTTTTATTATCATTATTCTTTTTACATATTTTTGTAGTTTGACAAATCAATTTGATCTGATTCATTATGAGTTTGGACATTATTTTCTAATAGGTTTAGATTCAATCACAACTGTGCCAAATATAAACAAATAATAGTAATTGAAGACTCATAATTAAATATAAAAAAATCTTAACTCCTAATATAATAGGCTTAAAAATGAAGTATAGCATGCCATAGTTACCCATCACCATCAATGCTGCAAGTTACTGTAATAATGATAATTAAAAATCATTTCAGGGGACACAAAAAATGGTCTCTTGGGCCGGATATGGCCCACTGGCCTGAGTTTGACAGGCCTGATCTAGGCTGTCATATCTGTTCACTGTTGATGAGTGAAGATGATGACGATATATAATTGCAACTGGTTTGGTGAGACCAGTCCCAACCAGTTCAAGCAAAGTCCAACTTGAAGCGTATAGGGGGACTAGAACCACTGGACTGCATTTATGGTGCTTAAAACATGTTTATATTGTATTGTGATGTATTTGTAGGCTGATGTATAGCATAATTTAAAGATTGTTTTTGTTTATTTACTTTTTGGTGAGTAAGAGAAATACAGTTGTGCTTGACAGTTTATTCACCCACACAGAAGTTTCTTGGTTTTGGCCATGTTTTGGGGATTATGAATGAAAATCCAAATAAATGTTTTCTATTTTCAAATAAAACGGTTGGGACTCAGGGCGGCTTTACAGTTAGAGAGGATAAATCAACAACAACAACAACAACTTACTCTTGTAAAGCCCTACATCACAACAGAAGTCATCTCAGAGGACTTAACAAAACCATTGAAATCACCAACACAGATCAGAGAATCAACAGTTAAAACACATAAAGAATATAGAACACATGTTGAAAAATGTCCATACATGTTGTAGAATGTTAAAGTGTCCTGGATCATCACCACAGTCCTAGTTAAACACTAACTGCTCAACAGACCCTCCCATCGGCAAGGAAAAACTCACAAAAACCCAACAACTACCACAAAGACTCCAAGCTGTCGGAGATATTAAAAGGGCAACACACTATTGAGAACTGGGGGATGGAGATTTCTCATCAGGGTCAGAAGAGAAGTTCAAGTATCTCAGGGTCTTGTTCACAGCGAGGGAAGGATGGAGAGTAAGATTGACAGGCGGATCGGTGCAGTGTGTGCAGTGATGCGGTCGCTGTATCGGACTGTTCGGATCCAGAGGGAGCAGCATCTCCATTCAAAGCTCTAAAGCTTCTCTACGTCGCATAGACAAATTGGAGGAAAAAGGATGGAGTGATCGGAAAAGAGTTTGAATTATTATTGTTTCCAGAAATATGGCCTTAAAAATTCAACATTTCTGCCCAGGCGTTGTGTTGTAAACTTTCAAGCACAAATTTTACCTAAGGCTACATTACCAAACATTTGATCTGAATTAGGAATGCTTAAAAAATGTAATGATGCTACATGCTACAGTCAACATGCTACAGTTTATTTATAGTCCCCTGCATCTGCGGCATGTTCTAAGTTTGTGTCTGAGGGCTGGAGAATGGGGTCAGGAGACGGCCATATTTGTTTGTTCAAATATTGATTTTGTCTTCCCTAAATCTTTCAAACAAGACGCTTCCTACCGTACAAGTCCCGGCTTGTTCGCTCAATCCTTCCGTGTTTTCACAACTGCTTCTCTTTTTCTCTGTGGCCACTGTTTTTAAAGATTCTTCCTGTTTGAAGCGCTCCCAGCTGAAATATGTGCAGAACTTTTGTGGTGTCTGCGCGCTATAAATAACATGGAAACACACTATGTACGTAAACAGCATTTGTACAGGCATGTTTTTTTTCTTCTTTTTAAATAAAATGTTTATACTTTTGACTCTATTTTTTACTCTCTCTGTAAATGGAAACAAGCCATATGATTTATGTTAGCTACAGTTTTAGTTGTTTAGTGTTTTTTAAACAGCTTGATTATAGCTCAACCTCTAATAAAGCTGGGTCACCTGATTTTTAAACCACAAACAAAGTGTTTTCACATAGATGATTATTTGGCCTTTCTCACTTTAGAAAGGTCAGATTTTACAGACGGAAAAGTGAAGAGTGTCATATATTATAAGCAAAGATTCTAAAAATAAACTATTTTCTCACAAAAGAGGAAAACAAGTTGTGGCCTCATTTATCCTCATGACGTTGCTCTGTCCATTTGTGGCAAAACATATCATTCATGAAAAATAAATATTGAAAAATTACTCATTATTGACCTTTTGTTACCCAGAAGTCCCAGTGAGATTTCATAATCTCTTTTTCATGGGTCATTGTATTTGGATTACAGCATTTTCATACAATTAGAATTAACAGCTAACAGTGCAATAATATTCTTTTAAATCTACGATGCAGTTTTACCCTCTCATTATTTCACAAATCAACAGGAAGTATTAAAAGTATTCAGAATGCAGTACAGTTCTCTGATTGAACCATGCGTCTGCTTCATCCAACCCCAGTTTCATTTCTGTTATTTTATACTGTAAATTTGTGTTGTACATGATCTGAAATAAGCATCTTGATTGATTGAGTTAACTCAGGGGTGTCCAAACCTTTTAGTAAGAGGGCCACTTTAGTCTAGACTTGTTCAATGGCTGACAACATTGATTCTTCTGTATTCAGCCTGTTTTGAGCTTTAGCCTCTGATATGACACGTCCATAGTGATTCACACCATAACTACACGTTTGTGACACAATCAAAAACAGTAAACACAAATAAAGGTAATGGCTGAATTCCAAAGGGACTGAGCTTTATAACGAAGTGCATCTGACTATATTGGTGGAGTGGAAGTTGGCTCATTGACATTGTCATTGGCTCTTGCGGAGCTAACACCAGAGCCTAGACAGTGGGGACTACTTGGTTCCTAAGTTCAGAACATCTTTTCCTGTAATGGAGCCAGACTCAGGAACGCTCTTCCCACTGAAAACTACAAACAGACCTAAACATCTTCATCAGACGTCTAAAATTATGGTTGAAATCGGAGCAACATTGTTCACATGTTTAATGAAATGTACATTTGATTATTTATTTGTAAATTTTAGATTTAGTGCATTTATGCCCTAAAAGCCTGGACAAGTGTTGAAAATTAGCAACATTAGTGTTTTAGCTCTAAATACACTAAAGGCAGTACATCTGGGCTGTCCAATGTAACTGTTGTGTCCATATCAAATAAATGAAATAAATAAACAAATGCTAGTTTGGACATGCCTGATGTAACTGAATAGATTGAAAAATGCATTTTACAGGAGATATTTGTTATTCTGTATCTAAATACATCTGCAAGTATCCTCCCCAACCCTGCATGTATGGTATTATCAATCCCTCCTACAATGTTGTACTGGGAATACGTTTGTAATATATGAGTTACAATGGGATCTTAAACTGGGCGACACAGATTTAGCTTTGTCATGCTCTCTCATGATCACAGAATACAACAAACAGAAAAAAGACCATTTTGCTGCTTCTGTAAATGTATTGTACCATCTCCATCAGATAAAATGATAATGCGAAGAGAAAGCAGCTGCAGATTATCTTCCGTCATGCCCACAACCTTTTATTTCACCTTGATGCAAAACCATAAAATACAAATGTGTCCAAAGGTTCAAAAACGTAAAGAATGTCTTTAAGCCTTTAAAACATTCAAATGTGCGATTCATATGTTTTTTTTTCTCCCTTTGCAACAAACAGATGCCTTTTCTCTTGCAATAAATAATGTTTGTAAAATATTAAGAAAGGAAAAGCAATGGAAATCAAAGGCAGATGAGGTGCGACTGTAAAAGAGTCTCTGTACATGGTTCGGGATAAATCCTTTTAAAATGCTGCTTCTTTTTTTTTCTTTTTTTTACAATTGACACAAAAATCAACAAAAGGCAAAGAGACAAGACAGCATTACAACGGATGGGCCGCGGCACGTGGCCTTTGACATCAGGTACAGGACAAACTACAAAACTAAAGAAAATCATCTTTTTTTTCTCACATAAGAACCACGAGGTCGGAACAGCTCCTGTGATTCCTCAGTCACTGTATGCAGTAAAAACGACCTCTCTTTACAAAAATACATTTTCCTGTGTAAACGTTTGCATCCAAAGGCACTTCCTTCTGAGACCCCTTCCTTCTAACAGAGGCAAGTGATTTCGTTTTTTAAGTTTTCTTAAGTCTTTTCTTTACATAAACCCTATGGGTACTATCTGTTGTAAGTGCGCGCTTAGGTCTATTCTATAGGAGTGACTACAATAAGCACAGTAGCATTGCACATACTTTTTTTTCTTCAATAAAAATACAGCCTTTTCATGTACAATTCATGATAAAAAGTAAAAAAAAAAAAAAAAATTGATAATAACACTTTAGCGGCCTCCAGCTGTGCCCCGGTGTTAGGAAATGTATTAGAGCGGAACAACACAAACAAATACATTCCTCTCGTCTGCGAGGGCTTGCTGTGGTTTCCCTGCTGAGATATGAAACCAACTAAAAATGCAAAAAGTCGGCTTTACGCCCTGGAAACAAGCTCAGACACATCCAGCTGCAGAGGCCTGACGCTGCAGACGCTGGGGCTACTAGAAAACGATGCTACGACGTGGCGTTTATGGCGTGCTCTGAAACGTGTCCAGTAAAGCCAGCTGTCAGAAGAGCTGTTCACACAGACCACATGTGTTTAGCCTCTGCTCAGCAACGCATCTGCTGAGAGAGAATGTCCTGGATGACGTGGATATGTTGTATCGACACCAAAACAAAAAAAACCTTTGTGCTCAGGGTTAACATTGCACACATACAAATAAATAATACTCGAGTAGCATCATGTTTCCACAGTTCATAGACATGTGTTCTCTTTTCTCCTTCATTAAAACGAAGATCAATGTGTGACATAAAAGTACAGGAGGACCAGTGTGAGAGTGTTTATATATATACACCGTACTTTCTGGACTCACAGAATTCTGAAACTACTAGAACTCCCTGTGCAGTAATTTTGACGGCTCTTCATTTAAATTAATGACATTCTGGGGGAGAAAAAAAAGTATTTGTGTTTTCACTGATTAAGTTGAAGTGAAGTAATTTATAAGGGTTTTCTCTTTAAAACATGCTAACACTGGTATATAATGGTATATAAATGAAATACAGCAAAACTAAAGTCAACAGTGTGTTGCTATGGTAACCAAGCTGCTCTGAACCAGTCCAGAACAGTCTGGGATCTAAACAATTTCATAAATAAGTTACATAAAAATACAAAAAAACTCACAACGTTTTGAAGACCTAAAACGTACATAAGCTAATTCATTACACTTCCAAAATAAAAAGCCGTCAAATTGACTGCTCTGGGAGTTGGTGTAAAGCGCACCTGTAAATAAACCACACCAGGTAAAGAAAGCAAAAGCTGTCACTTCAATAAAACCTGCAGGTTGGTTGTAATGTATCACTGTTTTAACTGGACACAGCATGATTTAACGGTGAGGTGTTTAAACCATGGATCTATTAGGTTTTAACACACTGTTAGACTGTGATGATCCAAGCACTCTGGTAATCTGGAAATCTATTTTGATAATAAACATGGGTGCCGTTCCTTCTCAAACTAAAAAGTCCATAAACTCTGTTCTGACTATAGCCCCAATCACATTAGCCCATAGCCGCTTCCTTGTGTCTCTGCTATTCACATAAACACACTGAAACAGGAATGTATGCTACGTCATCAGCTCTGGAGATCTGCAGCTGTGTCCAAAACAGTTTATGTTCTCTGGTGATATGCAAACCGAATAAATATCCATGCATTGACAGCAGCTCTTTGATTAGTTCTGGTAGTGGGTAAGTGAAAGCTGATGATGGAGAAACCAGGAGGAATGATATAAACCTGCTCTTAAACAAACTATAAATACTGATTTGTGCAACTTTCATAATTTGGGAATAATTAAAATGTTCCTGCTTGCATGTTGAGGTGCTACATTAGCATGCTACACGCTAATTTACAATTTCATGGACTCTTTTGTCTAAGTCACTTGATTCATCTGTGATCATTGAAAAACACTTTAGTTAAAATAACCCTTTAGACCAGGGGGGTGGTCAATGTGGCTGCAGGTTTTCACTCCAACCAAGCCGACAGCACTCATTTCATAAAGTGAGTCCAGTCTTGACCTGAAGTCTAAGCTCCTTTTTGGTTGGAGTGAAAACCTGCAGCCGTATCCTCCTCCCTTTCTGAAACGACTGACACCCTTGCTTTGGGCACCAAAGTTCTTTCAGAAATGTAAAACAGACATAGGGAGGAGCCTTTATAAGAGATAGAGGACTGCTAAAACCAAAAACAAAGAAATAGAACAAAGAAATGTAAGACAAATGTAGGGAACCATTTGTGCAAAGCCAGGTCGCTGTATAGAGAGTGTCCTGGATTCAGAAGCCCATATAGTAATTTGACGCCTAAAGGATCCACGAACATTCTGTCTTACACACTGTTCATTAAAATGTGGTTTTTGTTACTTGCTGAGACTGAAAGGTGATGTCATCATAACTGTGTGTTGTGGAGATAAATGTGTAACATATACAGCTGTATCTGCGGTGATATACGTGAATAAAACCATAGTGAGAAGTTATTCTGAAACGGCCCCAGCTGAGATAAACACTGTTAAAACTGTCCTTTTGTCTGAGCAGTAGACTCCATCTTGACACAATCACTCGTTGAGTATGGACTCCGGCCAGTCATAGCCGAAAAGCCTAAAATCGGGCTCGTATAGCTTGTAGAGTTTTCTCCGGGCCTCTAGGGGCACTGTGCGGAACCAGTCCGTCTCCCAGCTGTTATTGGTGACGTTCCTGGGCGTGACGGGGAACTCCACCACGTTGTCCACTTTGAGCAGCCGCAGGAGGTGCTCTGCGTCTTCGTCGGCTGTCTCCAGGTGGCCCACAAAGTCGTACTGGATCTGGCAGGGGTGGCACAGGCGGTAAACCTGTCTCCAGTGCTCGTTAAAGGGCATGTCCTTCTCAGTCTGTGGGTCAAGCAGGTAGTGCACAAAGTGGGAGAAGGAGGGGTGGATGCCCTGAGAGAAGGCCTGGTCCGCGTGAGCCGGGGGGGTGGGCTGGTTGGCAAAGCGCCTCAAGATGACTTGTCCAAATCGCTGGTAAAACTGCTCATTGCTCATCTCAAACTTATTCCTATAAGCGGAGATGAGGCGCACAAATGGGTCTCGCACAAAGAGGAACTTGGTGTATTTTTTCAGCTTCACCTGAGAAGAAAAATAAATGTGAGGCGTTAAAGCGACGATTGATCCAAATTATAGTTTACTTAGGGCAATCATTGCATAGCTCCTTTCCCATAATAGCACACTGATATCATAAATGAACATTAGCAGAAGGCTGTGCCAAGGTAGAAATTACAGGGGAGACTTTTATGGCTGTCGAATTTGGAAACAAACTGTGTGTGTGGAACATTCTGCAGTTACAGTTCAACCTCCAGCTCCACGAGAACTGTGTCTGCATCCAAAGCTACGTTCTTGTCAGTTTCAGATTATGTGAACCATCATTGAAGCAATACAAAATCATAAAAAATAATCCTAACAACTGGAAATGATCATTTATTCATAAACATTCATCAGATGTTAGCTGGTGACGAAAGTTCTTTATAGACCAGATTTGTTTCGTTTTTTTCTCTGAACAAAATGAGTCAGTTTCAAAAGTAGTAGGTTCTTTCATACCAGACGATGTTATTACCTGGACATGTTTTGACAGAAAACTTTCCTCTTTCTCAGGAGCAACTTTTCTGAGTCACTTTTTTTTAATTGAACCAAAACTGTGCCAAAGGTAAAGAAGGATTGTTATTGCCAAATCTTTATCTTTCTATCAAACTATTACTGATCATGCCTTAGGTTCAACGTGTACAGTGTGTTGTTTCTTTGGGAAAATGAGTTACATCCATGCTCATAAGTGACTGATTAAACCTGAACATCATTTAGCAGGCTGTATGTTTGTCCAGCCTGGATAACACCAGACTAAATATTGATTTAATATTCACTTTTGTATTCATAATTCATTCTGTGCAGTTTGAAATGACTCACAGCAGCATGGATATTCCCAGGCTCCTGTTAACATCCCTGATTAAACCTAATAACATGTTTAACAAAGTTTAAATTCCTTGAATAATAGATCATCTCTATGAACTCTCTTCATGTATTACTTCATTTTTCTTCTTACCATCAGGACAATCCTAAATGATGAGTGAGTAAATACAGCTGAACAAACAGTAAAGGGCCTGAGTGATGGAAAATACCATTGTGCAGTGAAATAGTGTCAGTGTGTGAGGTTCCTGCTGTATCCTACTGTATCCTACTGTATCCTACTGTATCCTGCTGTATCCTGCTGTATCCTTCTGTATCCTGCTGATCTCAGGAGCCAGCACGACCACTCACTTCTGGATCATCATAGGTTGAGGCTCCAGTAAGAGCTGAAGTATACTTCATATGTCTCGTGTGACTCTAGTTTATGAACGGTAAATGGTGGTTCAAGAACACTTTAGGCCCCTCCGCACCACGGCAGCTGTTGCTACTATAGAAGACCTGGGCTATAGAAGTCCAAACGTTAATAAAACGTTTAGACACCCCTGCACAATAGTGATTAACCAAAACCTTGTGTGTAATGAGAGATAATGTGTGTTGACTTTGAGATTCTGTAAAAGCACTGTACCGTTTCATTATAATTACAAAAGCCCCACATTATGTATTCTACTTCTACTTCTAAAAAAGCACCCACCTTCATGAGGTGCTTGGCGAACTTGCCATATCGTTTCCAGAAGCGATTGAAGGTGAAGTGCATGGTGCTGTTGTGGACCAGGTCCCCAGGAACAGCCTGGGGGTCTCTCTGCGGGACCCCATCATGCAGAAGGCTCTCGCTGAGGACGATCATGATGCGCTTCCAGTTACTGCAGGCTACCTGCGGCCGGCACACGCACACTGTCATTTCATGCTACAATACACACAGCTCTGTTTCAAAACAAAGTCGTTAGAAAGAGCAGGGCGGCGGCGGAGGAGGAGGAATACCTTGGGGACATAGCAGTAGATAATGCCGTGTCTGTCATCCACAATAAGGTGATTGAGTTCTTGGTTTGGAATGTCATCAAAAGAACGGTTTTTGCCTGGAAATGTCAGGCTGTCGTTGGTGCAAATTTCCTGAAGCATCCTGCGTCTCTGTTCCTGCGAATGTGAGATATTACGGATTAATTTCTCTAATCCCTGGAAAGTAGCTCATCATTCAAAGCAGTGTCATATCTGCTTATATTTTATTCAACATCAAAACACTGCTAGAAAAATACAGCAGTGGAGTGCTATGCCGATCCGAAATGGTATAGAGCTGAGGGTAAATGATAAGATGACAGCAATAATAATAATACAAGTTGTTTGTTTTGCACTTTGGACATCAAATCAAAAGGCCAGACAAAAAAAATCATAATGAATGAAGAAGTGGACTCTAATTTAGTAAAATCAAATATAAATACTGTATTTGCATTTCCATTATTTAATTTCCGGTTTAGTCATATTGGATTATTGTATAAGGTTTGTTTACTTGTTAGCTATAATAGTCCTAATGAAACGTTTTTACCACGTTTTCTGGAAAGGTTGAAAATGTGACAAATGCCTCTCGGTCGAGGTCTGTGCTCAAAGAGTGTCTTTCTAGTTGATGTTTGTATTGATTGTTGTTGTTTATGCAGAATCATACATGTCTTAACCTGTGACTCTTCTGCTCAATATAACTGGACAAATGTATGGACTACATAATGAAATGTTTTCAAATAAAATGACAAACAGTATATAAACTGTTCGATGCCCAGATCCCGTGCAGGAAAACTCCCAAAAGCTGTGTTCCTAAAACAGCTTCAGCATTTCAAAAATGTACAAGCAGCCGCGCGGATGGAGCTGCAGTTCAGGGGAGCATTGGTTAAAACAGAGTTGGAATCCATATTATTGAGTCTGAAGAATGAAAACATGTCAGTGTTATCCTTGTGCAACAACGAGCCGACTGCACAGAGGCCGATAATTCTAAAGAATATGCATCGTCCCCATTAATCTTCTAAGCCACATTATGCTTAGTAAGCAAGAGTCACGGAATACTTGTCAGGTTTGAATCTTTTTAACCTCATTAGTGATACTTTTTTCACTAACCCTATCTCCATTATTTTTTATACTGTATGTGCCATTTTTATTTACATGACGGTGCTATTGAACAAGTGCCAAAAGAGTATGGACGTGCCAAAATTCCTGTGCATCACGAGTTAAGATAAAAAACCTGGGACTTTGTTTTGAAACAGAGATGTGTGTTTTGTAGCATGAAATGAGAGTGAGAGTAAAGCACAGGGTTCACAAAACAGTAGTTAGTATTAGAAGTAAAAAGTCATATAAACAATTCTAAATGGTTAAAAGATTTTCAAAGCCAATGTTGCATTTAACAGTGAATATCCTTTCATGTAAAGATACACACGGATAGCACTAATTACCGTAGGGATAAATAAATTCTATTATTAAGTAATACTTTATTTGTATAGCGCCTTTCACAGACACTCACACAGCACTATATAATGGTCATGGGCCTTTTTTGTTTCCACGGCATGGTGGTCGCCTGACAAAGGAGACGCACGCTGGACCCTCCAGTCGCCAACTGTTCACTCGCAGATCTATTGTGCATCTCTTTAGTTGGCGGGGAAACTGGAGAAAACCTACGCAGACATGAGAAGAACACACAGAAAAGCCCGGTCTGGCCTGGGAATCGGACCACAACCTTCTGGCTGTGAGGCAGGTCATAACAGTGGTCCTCTTTTCTCCACCTCTAAAAACATGCAACAGCAGGAATGTGGTGAGTGATGGTGGTAGTGGTGGTCGGAGGTGGCACACATGGAAAAACTTTCACAAACCTGTAAATCTCTTTAAAGTGGAAGTTATTGATATCCTCAGCGCACAAGTATAAACAAAAACATTGGTGCTTTATAGTGGAATCATCGTCTTGTTCCATGATCCATGATTTTAATGACTAGTATTGTTTCTATCTTGTTTTGTTAAGCCTGGCCCTTGTGTATGGAGCTATATGTATGTATGGAGTGCTATACAAAAAACTTGCCTTGCCTTGACTAATGCCCAAGTAAACTGACCTGTCTCTCCCGGAGCTCCGGTGCGATCGGGGTCAAGTGGACCTTCCACTCCTGTCGCGGGACGTAGCGCTCCTCTGTCTTTTCTGATTGGTTACCCGTATCGGCAGGGGCGGGGTCAGTGGGCTCGTCGCTTCCTGGCTCCAGAAACTGATTGACAAAGGCATCGATGTCTGAGAGAAAGGAGGGCGCCTGAGAGGGTTTGGGCTTGGGCTGTGGCGGCGGCGCTGGGGTCTTGGGTCCAGGGGAGACGTGTGTGTGCAGATACAGATACGACGCTCCCACATCATCCCAGTAAATGATGATGAAGAGGATCATGAAGAGGGAGCCCAGGACCACGAACACGCGCAGCATCTTGGACGTTCCCATAGCGACTGACAGATGTGCGGAGCTAAAGGGTCACCATAGCAACACAATTGTCTTGGTGGGGCTTCGCCATGGCAGCAGAGTCAAGGTTTGAACACCGCATGTCACCATGGCGACAGAAAGATGCAAGGTGATGGTGGGAGCAGGTCGTCATGGCATCGGTGCAGTGCCATCCATAGTCAGTCGCCCTCTGTTCAACACAGACACATGGTTACGGACTGAGGTTACGGACTGAGGAAATGTTCAGACTCTTATCCATTACACCATACAGAAAAGAGTACAAGAGAATATGAGAAACATCAACTATTCTAATTATTTCCAATCATGGTCAAGCTGTGAAATAGAGAAAAGTTTTACATAAAGAGCTACCAATGTTTTCTTTTTTTCCATAAGTTATGCAGCTATTTTTGGACGCAAGTAAAGACGGTCTTCTCCACAAATGAAGTGATTCAACATCAGTATATAAACTGGATTAGAGAAAGTGAAATGTTGTGCCCTGCTGGTTCTTATTGTGAATATTATTGAAAAAGCAACACGTCTATGTGGAAGATATATTATAAAAGTACAGATAATGTGTACCTCTATTGTTTGTTACGTATACTGAGTGAAATATATAAATGAATCATTGGGACGGCACGTGGATTCTCGCCTCTCGCCTTGTTTGCATGTTCTCCCCGTGTCTGTGCATGTTATTTCAGGTTGCCCCGGCTTCATTATGTCAATGTCAATTTATTTGTATAGCACATTTACAGCAACACCAGGTCCCCAAAGTGCTTCACACGCACAAAAGAAACTAGAAGACTAGAGTTAAAAACCTTGAATAAAAATGATGCTCTAATGTACAGAGGTAAACCATCAGCCATAATAAAGAGATTCTGAAATCTCAGTGGAACAATCCTGTTTAAATGAAAAGCAATAAATACATAAATGTCCCTTCATTTCTACTCCTTCCATACATCTCGCTGTCGTATAGTCACACAAAATAACAAAATACCATAATTATTCTGAATAACAGTCGATATAATCTGAAGTGAGAGATGTCAGCCCAGTGCCACACTTGTCTGAACTCTTCCGAGTGTCAACAGCACACGTAGCTGTCAAATGCCTCCAGTCTGATGCTTTGTGAAGCATGTGTGAAATCCAAGTGCACTGCAGAGATACAGCTCTATCCTTACCAGGCTCAGTATTCTGGCACACCGGCAGCATTTCAATACAGCCTCTAAACCCCCGTAGCTCTATAGTAGAGCCATTGTCTTATTACTGCTCAATCTAACACTTCCTCTTCAGTGGAGTATGACTTTCCAGTCCAGCACATTTCTAAATCCGGAGCTTGTCATGTAACAACAGCCTCAGTTTCCTTTTCCTCAAGCGAAGATACTCACAGCTGCCACTTTGGAGATGACACACAATCCACTAATGGGCTCAAATGAACAATTACAAACATTCGCTTTCATCCAGATGATGGCATTTATCTGGCTTTAAACGCATTTTTAAAAAAAACTGGACAGCCAGGTTGTCCCTTAAATGTTCTGCCTTAGGTGTAAATACAGTTTTTAACATGCCTTTCTATGTAATAACACTTTATTGTCTCTTATCCCTGATGTTTCGTTTTTTTGTTATGGCAAGAATAGTCCACTTGACGGATAAATGTGTTTAAGCAGTCTGGTGTTGGCCCCTGTTCATGCTAGTTCCTGTTTTCTTGACAACGCTTTATGCAATTCCCAGGCAAAGACAATGACATAAGCAAGGAGTATAACAGTGAAATAATAATGCGTTGTTTTTATATAGCACTTTGATGGACTCTCAAAAATGCTTCACATGTCATTATTCATTCCTTACTTACAAGGTGGTGATAAACTACTACTATAGCCACATAATTATGCCCTGGGGTGCACTCACCGAAGCAAGGCAACCAGTTTGTGCCATCTGCCCCTCTGACAACCACCAACCATTTACACACACACACACACACCAAACTCGGCATTGCGGGTGAAGTGTCTTGCCTAAGGACACAACGGCAGTCGAAGCCGCCCCACTGTGGCACCTGGTGTTCCCAGAGGTCTCCCATTACAGTATTAACCAGGCCTAAACGTGTTTCAGATTCTCCCACTTAAAACTATCCATAAGTTAGTTCAGTGCACAAAAAAAACACAGGACCTTGTTACCTTTAGGAATGTAGAGGATGACTGCACAATGAAATATAACCACTATGTGCTTGTACTTTAGATTCGCAGACAGGGTCACCTTTGTGTGTGGTGTGTGCTCCAAACTCATCCATGTTACTGTAGACGCACGGGCGGGTCAAAGGCTCCACGGGGTTTATTTTCATTCATTCTTCCAGTAGGAGAGACCAGTGTGCGATCGTGTGCATGTGTGGACCATAGTGTAGACGTGTGCGTGTGGATCATAGACTGTGTGGATATGCCAGGTGCGTAAACAGAGACCAGCAGTAGCAGCAGCAGCAGCAGTGGAGGCAGACGAGCGGTCCGGACTGGAGACGGACCAGCTCGGACACAATGTCGCCTTTGACTGGGGATCTGTGGACCGGGGGAACGCACTGTACAGCATAGACGCCTCATGTGTGCGTGTGCGTGCGACTGTGCGTGTGCAGTCATTCATGAAACAAGTCTAGTCCATTCATGCCACGGTGACGCTCCAAGTTGAGAACAAAACAATAAGATTCCGCGTCGCTTCATCAAAGAGTCTGAGAATAGCGGTTTCTTATCCAAGTGTTTTTGGAGTGGTTCAAAACAACGCGCGCAGAGGTTTTATTTACAAACTCCACGTATCTCGTTCTTCAGTCAGCCTTTTGAATCAAACACTAGAGTATGTATTCTTCTTACCTTGTGCTGGAGAAGCTCGTCCGCGTCAGCCGCTGATGAGAGCGCTGTCTTTCCCTCCTCACACGAGAGGGGCTCGGGCAAGCACCGCGAGAGTTGGGCTTGGGGGAGTGTGGAGTGTGGAGTGTGGAGTGGTGGAGCAGGCAGGGGGGGGTGGTGGCTTGGCTTTTCTGCAGAGTGAGCTCATGAGGGAAAATTCACTTTTCTGGGTCAGATCGTGCATAACCTCGCCTCTTCTCCGGGATGATCCGTGTTGACAGGCCGCCTCTATGCGCTGTGGGCCCATAACATACACAGTCCCACACGTACCTGCACAAACAACAACATCCTCTGAACAGACTCAGGGATTACACAGGGAGCGTGGATGTGTATGTGGGTGTGTGCGTTGGTGCGTGCGTGTATTTGTGTGTATGCAAGTGTGTGGGGGGCCTGGAGCTGAAGCCAAATATCAGCGTGTATGTGCTTTCAACTAGTTTGTGTGAGACTAGAGCATCCTGTGCTGGTTCACTTGCACATCATCTGCTTTCAATCAGTGTCACGAGGCACGTGTAGCACTGTTTTAGGCTGATTTAGAGGAACAGTCTTCCTGAAAATGTGAGACAGGCTTGTACTCTGACAATGTTCAAATTCATCGATTCAATGTTCATTATATGTGTGTACACTTCACTCTTTTTAACGCACTGTGATTATTTCTGTCTGTGATTTATTGCTGTGTCTCTATGAGCAGTGAAGCACTTGGCGTTACTTTTATGTGAGAAAAGCATTCTATAGAAATGGATGAGAGCTATACTACAAAAACATTGTAAAGTTCTTTTTATAACCTTGGTGTGTCAGATGCCCTTTGTAAATAATCATATATACTCTTATTATCTATTTACTAATACTATACACACAAATTTAACGGCTTTCTACACATTTTGCATGTGACTTAAAGCTGGGGTACCTAAAACCACACAATGTACTGTCATAACATTCAGTAACAGTTTTTTTCAAACAAAAAAAGAGGGCGCCACTCCTTCTCAGCCAATCAGCTCAAAGCATCAAATAGTGACTCATCCTTATAACAATGCAAAATTTACCGTTTTTTCTATTAAGATGAATACAAAATGATTGTGGTCTGATTTGTTCTCAAAACATTGCATTCATGAGACTCTTTCTGAAACAAATAAATGGTCTGATTTATGATAAAATAAAGGTTAGGAACTCAAGCTTTAAGAAACGTGTATAAACATCATTGTGTGTCACATGTAGCACCTCCTCATGTGTAACATTCATTTGTGACATATTTTCAGACACAGACGCCCCACATAAAGCCCACATCTGTGTGCACATCTCTGCATCAGCCGCAGATTATGTGGCGTCCTGGAAGAGTGTAAATCCCCATCTGGTATTTTCAGATTAAAGCATCTGCTCTTCACAGAAATTATTTCATTTTTTGCAGCCATTGTGTATGTTTCTGCATTATGTGTATTTATCAGCAGTCATTCATTGCTGAGGCCAAATTCTGTTACGTTTTGACATATGTTAAATCATTTGGCTTAGTTTCCCTACATCTTTCTAAATATACTATTCTTTTATTTATTTCTGTTATTTTTAGTAGTCCTCTATCTCTTATAAAGTGACAGGGCCTTTTGTGACAAATGTGGTTTTAGGGCTGTCCACTTTATTCATTCTGTATAATATGTTGTACTGAAGGGAAAAGCTCAACCAGGGACAGGAGTTGAAAATTAGCAAAAGCATCAGTTGCATCTTTCATGCTGTAACTCATTGTCTCTGTCAAATATATAAATAAAATAAAATAAACATAACATTCTGATAATAAGACCATCAAAAACTGGAATATACAGGCTGCAACAACTACCATGAGATTGCAAATTACATGATTTCACTCACGGGCAGTTTGAGTCAGAAGTTCCTGATCAACAGTCAATGCTGCACGGACAGATTTCTGTTTCTTTATGTTTGATCGAGCTCAGAAGGAATGCGAAAAAGAAATGGATCAACTAAGGAAAAGGCAAATCAGAAAAACCTAAAATCTGCTATTTTTGACCACTGCAAAAGAGAAAATCATAATGGACTGGGTCAATGCAAAAATAGTAGGCACAGAAGAACACAACAACAAGAGATGGATACAAGAGGCAAAGAATCAGGAAGCAGGGCACATGGACCATCAACAGAGACGCGGGGGCCTGTACTTTGGCTCACACTTGGAACTCGATTCTCCAGAGACCACAGCTTTCAAATTGTGAACAAAAAGAAAAAGTTTAAGCACCAGTTGGACCTGCACATGCTGTGACACAAAGTCAGGAACTTAGGAACTATTGACCCTGCGAAAGTTCAATTTCCAACTTGAGAAGTCTTCATTTCCATTTTTACGAGAGGGAAGTCAGAACTTCTGAGTTCCTGAAAGTCCATAAAAGCAGCCTATGCGTTGAGACCAAAGGGGCAGAGTCACATGTTTGTGCCAGAAGTTCCTGATACTAGCGTGGATGGATCAGGGATGGATCGACGCACTGTGACTGATGAACAATGTTTTAACATGGCTCAAAGCTCAAAAGAATCTGTCTCCTTTGAGAACCACCAGAGGTCTTTGTCGACCCACATAACCTGAACTCCCCCCTTAAGTTATACAAACATACATAATTTCATAGTTGTTTATCGCACTTTATTTAAATATAAATATAAAAAAATATACAGCCCAGATATAAATACACGTTCAGAGTTATATGAATAAATATGTTATAACATGTCTTGCTCCACCCAGATGGTCTTCTTCTGCTCGTCCACGATGCGCTCCCTGATGACTCGGAGCAGGTCTTCATGTCCAGTCCAGGCCTCGGGCTCCACGCAGCAGTACAGACACGGGACCCCCTCCAGCTCCTTCTCTGTGGCCCGACACCAGCGCACAAACTCCTCCTCTGGCTCTAGGCGCACCGGCAGCTTCCTGCATACAGCAGACAGGAAGGGCTACTAGAGACGACAGCTCACACAGGACACCAGCCGGTTATAAAGCATCACAACTGCTGTGTGTTTGTGGGGGGGGGCTCCAGTTCCCTGTTGTTAGAGGAAAGTGTCTCATGTTCTCCAGGGGTCAAACTCTTCCTGGTGCAGGGCCATAGCTGTTTTTAAACTTCACTGTGACCAAGGTTGTCATGTTTATTTTTAATAACAAATATAATGCATGCATCCCTTTACTGGACCATCAATTAGGCTTCATATCTCATTCTTCTTTCATTGCACAGTGGTGATAAGCTACTATAACCACAGCTGCCTGATGGGATCTGGCTTTCACATGAAGGCGGCGCCACAATTTTAGACTTTTAAATGGCCCAAGGCTGTATCAGCGGTCATTGTGGTGCATTACTCTCGATAAGGCAAAAACGTATTTCAAACATTTTAACCCATACCTCAGTTTCTTGACATTTCTTTCACAGATCTTAATGTAGATGATGATGGGGTAAATCTCTCTCCTCAGAAGATCTTTCACACAGTTGAGCTCGGCCTCCACCAAACAGTGTTTTTCCTGAACATGAGCAGAGAACAGCTGAGCGCTCACATTACCTGAAGGACACATTATGTGACATCACCAACTCACCTTTGCAGCCACTGCTTCGATGTTTTCTCTAGTGATGCATTCATACGCAGCCTGCTTCTCCGTGAAGTGAACAAAGGGCTCCACGCTTTGTTTGAGCTGAAACTCCTCTTTGGTAAAGGTCTCTGCAACATTTATGGACATTTATCAACACTTATGGACATTGGTCATCTGCCCCTTATGGACCAATGTGTTTTCTATTTTATTTCTTGTGTTTGAACTGTTTGATTCTCTGATCTGTGTTGGCGAATTCAACGGTTTTGTAAAATCCTCTGAGATAACTACTTGTGATTTAGGGCTATACAAGAAAAAATGTAATTGAATTGAATTGAATTTAATTTAATTGTAAAAAATGTAGGTCTCTGTGGAAGATTAGGTGGTGTTCTGTGGATGCAGTGTCCCTTGCTTCAAGCCAGTTCATGTCCAGGCCCATCTGAAGTATGCTGTACGTATTACTGTGAAGCATGGGGGTGGAAACATCATGCTTTGGGGCTGTATTTCTGCAAAGTTACCCAAACGATTGATCCGTTTAAAGGGAGAAATGAATGGGGCCATGTATTATGATATTTTGAGGGAAAACTTCCCTCCATCAGCACGGGTTCAGTTCAATTTATATTTTTATTTGAGCTCATACCAAAACATGCAGTTGATAGACCAAATAACAATATTTTTAGTATCATTATTTGTTACGTACTCTATAGAGCTCTAAAGGAGTGGGCCAAACTAGAAATTACTAATTTAATGTTCTAAGTCAGAGAGATGTGTATAAGGGGATTGAAGATGAAACGTGACTGGATCTTCAGCGTGACGTGACAATGATCCCAAACACACGTCACCCGGGCAACGAAGGACTGTCTTTGTAAGAAACATATGAAGGTCCTGGAGTGGCCTATCCAGCCTTCAGATCTCAACCCCATAGAAAATATTTAGTGGTTGAAAGTCTGTGTTGCCCAGCGACAGCCCCAAAACATTACTGCAGGAGGAATGGGCCAAAATACCAGCAACAGTGTGTGGAAACCTTGTGAAGACTTGACCTCTGTTGTTGCCAACAGTGGGTATATAACAATGTTTTGAGATAGACTTTTGTTATTGACTAAATACCTATATTTCCCCGTAAATTGAAAACAAATTTGGACTTCTCGGCTGTATATTCACTGAGCTGAAGTACGCTGGTTGACACTGTAAGCTTGTGTTCACAATAAACTGACAATTAGTTTGGACATGCCTGCTGTAGAGGCTTAATGGTCTAAAGTTACAATAGCACAATGCATGACCCACATCTTAACACCGTCTCTATGTGCCACTTGTGACAGCTGCTTTAAACACGAGAACGTCTTTGTTGCGGGCTCCTGTACCTGCTTTACAGCCGCTGAAGTCCGTCCCTCCCGCTGTGCTCAGGATTCTGTTGATGATGGTTTTGGCCAAAGCGAAGGGTGTGAACAGGACAGGCCGCCTTCTCTGGGTTTTCTGAAGGGTGACAGGGCTGTAGGGGATGAGGTTTAAACTTCTGCACGAGTCATTGTCCGGGTTGGCGTCTGGAGGCAGCAAAGAAGAAGCTACGGTTAATATTGAAGTTTTAGCGTAGTGCAGTTCTCTCATGAGCATCCTCCTGCAGATCCCCATAATGAGAGTCGTGATGGTCCTCACCCTCCGGTCGCAGCGTCTCAAGGCTCTGTCTGGGCAGAGAGCCACAGGAGTTCACCAGCCTGACGCGCTCGCTGCTGTTCATGCGCTTGTATTTGGTGTCCACCCTGCTGACAAACTGAACATGCAGACTCGAGATCAGTGTTGTTGAGTGTAGGGAGTAATGCGGTCATTCCAAAAAAACTGGGTAGTATTTTACTCGGTACAAACAAGCTTTACATTGCATTTTAACCTGGAATTACATTGTGTTTTGTTTTTATACTATGCCACAGTGAGATCAGCAGAGGATAACAAATCGGCACCAATAGAAGCCGCCTAGAAGTGTTTTTCATTTCTGTAGAAGATGGCTGAAGCTGAAGCTGAAGCAGACAATAGTACATTTTCCAGATACTCCCATTATTGTGAGTTTGTTGGAGACAAAAATGTGGAACATTACAGTTAAGTGCACTTTATGTGAGAAACCAAAAACTCTATCAACCTCACACAACAACATGATAAGCTACATTTAGTTTGAATACATATATTTGGTAAACATAAAGGTAATGCAGTAGGAGTGTAATTCTTTAGATTTCAGAAACAGTAATATTGTGGGCAAACACATTACTTTGAAATAGCAGTAACAAGTAATACATGTATTATGTTTTTTAAGTAACTTGCCCAAAAGCGGTGTTGTCAAGATGCTGATAAACATCGCCTTATACCAACTATGAAACTGGTGTCACTAACTTTTGCACATGTCCATTTTGCTCCTCTTTGCATAGATGCATATCCTATAGATAAATACTGTAGTTCATTTGCAAACTTAGAAAAGTGCCATTTGAAATATTTTGGAAAGGCTTATATATTGCCCTTGACCAAGAAAGCCAGATATGTTTTAGTGCCATACAAATAAAGTTTTGCCCTATCTTGAGCACATTCTGTCACATTAACAGCCAATAGCAGAACAAAAAGGCATGCCAGTTCGTTTGCGGCTCCAGATTTTCTTCAGTTTGTGGGAATTTATATTTTGTGCTGATGGCCTGCTACTTTCCCATCTGATCCTCAACTGCTCCCCTGGTCCTCATCAGACACACACCTGCTCCTCTCGACTCTCTCCCATATTTCTCATCATTTGTGAATAAACTGTTAAATTGTTCTTGTGTTTTTTCCCGAATCAGAATCGTTTTTATTGCCATGTGAGTAACAGGAAGTCACAAACTAGGAAATTGCTTGTTGTTTGATCTGTTTTTGGGGCCTCTCTCACTTTGTGACAGAAACACTTCATAATTACAGCTCAAATATGTGTACCTGCATGCACAGCAGATCACACACACACACACACACACACACACACTCGGTCACACACACGTAGCTGCTCCTCCAACATCATTTGTGCTCCTGCGGCAAGCAGAGCCCAATTTAGTTGGATTACACCAAAAGAAACCCAAATGAGGGACTCATGTGCTGCTAATCCTACTTTCTGATTTGACACTGGAGTTCTCAAGTACTTTATGAAATGTCAACATATTTGTGATCATCAATGTCCATTGGTTTTTTTAGGATTCTTCAGAAAAGGCCACATAGGATTTGTATGACCATGAGTCTGAACTATGACAAAATATATAGATGGAAATGAAAAGGATCATTTATTTGAACAAACTTAGAAGTTTCCTTTTTGTTTTAATAAATGATCATTTTGTTCCCAGTTATGTTCATAGAAAAGAGCTGACCTGTATTATTTGTGTGATGAAGATGCTCGCTTTGGACAGACGAGGGCTGGCTTTAATGTCTGAAGAGGAACTTGGATCTTCTGTCGGAATATTATTCTAGAAACAGACAAAACACTCAAAACATAACCACATCCCCTGTCAGTACTGTTGTAGACTATAAACGACTGAAGAAGGTAATTTTTACCCGTGCATTGCGGTTGGTTTCAGCCTCCTCTTTCCCGCCTCGATTGACCAACTTTTGTATCTTTACCAGAAGCAGCTGCTGAGCCCTGGAGGAAACGTCATCCCAAATGAGTAATAAAAAATCTATTTGACAGAAAAATCTCCAATAGCACCCTGTTTACAAGTAAATTCATACTTTTCTAATGTGATTGTACTTATAGTATACATAAGTCATTAGAGCTCCATAATAAAAGTGCTCTATTCTGCATTTATAGAAAATGTAATTTAAACTAAATGGACTAAATATAGAGAAGTCGTTCCACCACACTGTACTTCCGTTCACTGATCTCACTCTGCAGAAAAGTCATGTGAGAAAGTGAGCAGAGGCGAGAGGAAGGAGGCGGGTGTCATGTCTGTATCATAAACTGTATGTCTGTAGGTGTCATGTATCAAAGGAGAAAGCATGAGATTATCACCTGTTCTCACTAGATTCAGATTCAGACTCATTTTATTTGCCATTTTCAGTAAAACCACAGTGGAATACACTTACATAAGTCCCCAGTGAACACCAGACAAGTACATAAATAAACAAGGTTAAAAGTAGAGGTATAAAACAAAGTAATACAAACATTACCAACATTGTTCTTGTTCCACTCAAAGATGTGTATCTCCCAAATAATAGCAACAATATTTTACTTTACCTGGAATGTAAAGTGATATAGTATGGAGCTATATGCATAAAAAATCTAATATTGTGGACAATGGAGTGGCTCAGGGAACTGCATGTTTGGAATGCCTCCGAGACATCTCCCTACTTCGTCTTATAGTCTAATAATACTCCTTGCCCAGATAGGATTTACAAACAACACTGAAGTGCTCTAAATGATTGCAATAGACAATAGATTCAAATAGAAATTAGTACTAGACAGTGTGACCTGCTCTACCCAGCGGATGTTCCCCCTCTGCTCTGTAAAGTGCAGAGTTAGCTAGTTTTAGAATTATGTTTGTTTTTTTTAGGTGTTTCCGCTGCTACTGGACACCTGAATTGCTCCTCCGGGGGATCAATAAAGAATCTATCTGCTGTATCTATCTATCTATCTATCTATATAAAGAAAAATAGGTAAGATGAACTCGTTCTCAATTAAAAACCAGAGACTCAAAAATGTCTAAGGAAAATCATTAGAATAGTAAAAGGAGCTGGTCACCTGGAGTTACATGGGATGCTTCCTGTTTCCGGCAAGTCAAGGCCGCTGTACGGGTCGACGCGGGCGCACAGCCACTCGCAGCGCTCCTGGAAGCGGGTGTCCAGCACATGCAGCACCTCGTCACAGCGCACGTTCAGGGAGCAGCTCTCGTGGTTGAAGATGTTGAGGTTCACGCGTATGTAGAAGGAATCCCCAGAGGCCAGCCGTCCGTCTGCGATGTCCCTCTGGAGACTCCAATAAGCTGCAGAGACACACAAATGCATCCAATCAAACATACCAATATAAAGGTGATTTCAGACTCATACTTTCCTCATTTGTTCAATAACAAACTTTAATAATATGCAATATGAAACCATATGTGCACACTGTCACTGTGTCCCAGACCCTCATGCTTCTAACATGTACAGATGATAATAATTCACTTGACCTGTTATCATTTCTACTGCCTTATTACATAACACAAGTTGACAGCCAAAAAATGGTCAGGGGTTTCTCAACTGATTTAGACTAATTTTGGTGTTCTGAGTCCGAATATCACATGCAGTTTGCTCTATCAGGTCAATTTTTTTAGATACAGCCATAGTGTTACGGATTATGTACGTCTACGTTATTATGAATTCTGCTTATCAAATTTGATGGAGTAAATAAAAACTGAATGACTTTGGATACGTTGACTTTTATTTCTTGAGGAAAACGGAAAAAACGTCAAGGGTTTCTCAGCTGATGATCCGCAGAAATGTGTTTTTTACGCAAAATCGATTAAAAAAAATATTTCTGTAGCAAAAAATCCTGACCTGATTGAGCAAAACCGAGGTCATTTCAGAGCATCAAAATTAGTCTAATTCAGCTGGAAAACCCTGGACTATTTTCAAAAAATATTTTTTTGTTACCCAGTGAATCTATTCATCTGATATTTCTGTCATTCACTAGTCACTTCATCTGCTGCTATTATTACTATTGTTTATTCTGCTCATATTCTCTGCTGCTAAAGTACAACATCTGTAAATACCTCTGAACAAAGTGCAATTATAGCTCCAGAGTTTTATCTTATCTTATTATTTTCATTTTATTATCTATTATCTTAAATAGTAGACCCTGTTTGATGTGTGCAACCTGAGTGCTCTTATTTACTTGTTTATCTCTCTTTATGTGTTCTCCGATGACATTGAAATTTTCCCACTGTGGGTGGAATAAAGGAACATCTTATCTTATGTATACATATATATCTATTTCTGCATTCAAATACACAGGATTGATACTTGCTTCTTTATAATGCTAAAGTCAGAAGTTTCGTATTTAATTCTTGCTTCTTTTCGTAGATTATAGACTGCTTTCAATTATGCTAACGATAGAGATATTATTTTATTTAGTAGAGAGTTTAGCATAGGGCTGTTTCATTGACCTTGTGCTCATTCCTACTGTTCTGTGACTGGTGACGCAACACTGAAATTTCCCCACTGTGGGACGAATGAAGGATCTCTCTGAATCTCATACCGTCGTAGTTTGATCTGTAGTGTAGTTTGATGAGGCCAGAGCAGCGCTGCAGTGTCCAGTGAGCCTCCTCCTGAGTGCTGGTGGCCAACGACACGCTCTGGTTCTCTCCTCGGACGACGCCTTCCAACTGTCAATACGACACAGAAAATAATACTCTTAAGGTCTTTAACAGTCGACCATTGTTAAAGACCTTAACAGAAGACCATAATTATATAAATGATTCTATGCACATTACATAAACAGTAAATCATTGTTTTTATCGTATCATCACCGTTATTCAACCTGGAAGGCAAGGCACGTTTATTTGTATGGCAGAGTTCATACACAGGGTAACTTAAAATGTTCACTTGTATCAAATTCAGATTCATTCTATTTGCCATTTGCAGTAAAACCACATTGGAATACATGTGCAAAAGTCCCCAGTGTGCACCAGACGAGTAAATGAATAAAACAAGGTAAAAAGGTAAAAGCAGGAATGAAATAAACTAAAGAGTACAGGAAATAATTGTCACTGTGAAATCAATCAACAACAACAGTTTCAGTACAAGTGCAAGATAATTAAAGTGCTTTGTTTAAAATGATAAGACTTTGTGGAAAGAAGCTGTTCGCAAAACGATAAATGAACGAGAACAGGCAGCTCACAGATCAGTCCTCTTTGCAGAGCGGTCTCTTTGATGTCACCAAACCACAATGTCACAGAACCAAGAGGAATGTGTATGTGGTTAAAAATGCGCTAAAAATCTTTCAATAAACTTAATAATCTTTATATGAGTAAGAATACCTGGTTAGTGTTGAAGTGAGGGTGAAAAGGCAAAGGTAACATGAACTACAGGACTACAGTTTTTACCTGTTTTACACATTTAGTTCACCTCTCACACTCACAATCCTCGTTTCTAATCTAATATTCACTTGGAAACTGTATTTTGCATTGACTTTTTGGTTGTCTTTGAGTGATACAAACAAAGGATAAGCGATCACTTCAGGTTCCTGTCTATCTTTAGCTGCGACTGTTTGAGTCTCACCATGAGGAGGTGGTGTCCCTCCCGTAGCCCCGCCACCTCGGCCCCTGAGCCCGCCGTCACCGAGGAGATGAAGATGCCGCTGTCGTTGCCTCCGACCAGAGTGAGGTCCTTCAGCAGATCGTCTCCGAGCAGAGACACCTCCTGCACGGGCTTCAACGTGGAGCTGATTCTGGTGATGGACGACAGAGATGGCCGAAACGGCCTGCGTACAACACACAGAGAGGTCTAGACACATAGACACTTTAGACACATGTATGTATGTATGTATGTATGTATGTATGTATGTATGTATGTATGTATGTATGTATGTATGTATGTATGTATGTATGTATGTATGTATGTATGTATGTATGTATGTATGTATGTATGTATGTATGTATGTATGTATGTAGGAATGAATTTATGAATGTATGTATGTATTGCCGAGGTACCAGACACTGGCCTTGGCAATACATACGTATATAAGTATTTATTTATGGATGTGCGTAAAGAATGTATGTATTTATTTATGGATGTGCGTATGAATGTATGTATTTATGAATGTTTTTTTATTTTTTATTTACTTGACAATACATCACATCTTACAATTACATTTCAAATAATTTTAGTCCTGTCACTCATTTGAGTAACAAAAAATGAGCTCAAAATGAGCAGAAGGAACAAAATAATCTTCTGTTGCCTGCCCCTTTCTTAAACTTGCTCAAATTAAAGAAATGATAATTAAGACGGACTGCAGCACTCCTTCTTCAAACTGTATTCATTTATTTATGTTAAAAATATGGTTATTTTTAATTAATATATTATTTTATAATCCTTTCTAATTCAGTGCTTTGTGGATGTTCGCAGAACTTCTTATTTCATATTTGAGCTGACACCACAGTTTTACTCTTTATATACAAAACATTCAAAAACACACATCCTTTGGACATGTACCTCTCGAGAGACAACTTCCTGAAGATATTATTGACCTGCTCCAGGTCATACGTGTCCATGCTTTCAGACTGATGCGAGGAGGAGGAGGAGTGAACAGAAGACGGCCCACACTGCACCTCGTCCTCTAGAAACCATAACACCACAACCATTAAGGAAAACACAACAATATAAAACTCAATAATAGTTGATGGTGTAATAGAACTCACCAAAATCCATTTCCTGGTTATCACTATCAAAGTCTGAGTGACTAAAGTAAAGGCACATTTTTTCTGTTTAGTTTGTGAAATAAATAAATGGAAGGATCGGGTAAAGTTGCTGTGTACCTGTATCTACGAGGATAGAAGTCTCTCTCTTTTTCTCTCTCTCTGCGATACAAAGAAGCTTTGTCTGGCGGCTCAGGGTTGGTGGACATGATGCTGTCATTACGATACCGCAACTGCAGGATTCATGGAGAACCAGTATTTATACAGTATCTACAATAGAGTACTCACATAACACATTCAAGCTTGTACAGTCTGTGTAATACAGAGTATGACCTCACCATGTTAGGCCGGTCCACAATGAGGGGGAGGGGCTTTGGTGACGAGGAGGGAGCAGCGCTGGGTGGGAATACGGGACACACTGATAAACTGGGAGAAGAGGGAGCAGAGGCGCTCAAGGTCTTTGTTGGCGCCCCTAAGAAATCACCTCCGTTGACTGGCAAAAAAACCATAGGTGTAAAAGTTTATGTTATGTTAGTGCTAAAGTTTGAAGGTGCATATGAAATAATAATAATAATAATACTAGTGCAAGTGTTTTATATGACGCTTTTTTGGACACATCATTATTAATTCACTCTATACACAGCGGTGATAAACTGTAGACACAGCTGCCCAGGGGCACACTGACAGAAGCAAGGCAACCAGTCTGTGCCATCAGCCCCTTCGACCGTCCCCAACCATTCACGCTCTCCAGGAGGCTGTAGGATCCATTGTTTAGAATGTTTTCTCTGCTGACGGACTCCTGCACCAGAAAACCTACAAAGCTATAGATCCTGGATCTCTGTAGACACAACCCTGATCAAATGTTAAGGCACGATGCTAACCGCTCTTACAGCCACTGCATCACTACAAGGTCAATTATGCAAAAAATATATACTTTTTCCACATGAAGTTGCATAATCTATCTATAAGACTATGTTGATGATTTGTGGCAGTTAAAGAACAAACAGATTAGTACCTGCAGAAGGAGTCGTTTCAGAGTTAGTTTGATGCTCTCTGAAAGGAAGAGGCGACTTGACCCTGATCTAATGAAAGAAATGCACAAATGAATAAATATAGTTTCTGTGAAGTTTAAGTGCGACAGATGTCACCAACCATAGCTTTGATGTTGGGTCTGCGCTTGAAGCGGTGATCTTCAGTGAAGAACTTCTCCTCCGGCGACTCGTCACTGGACCATTCTGTTTGACAGGGCGCCGCTTTAAACTCCTCCTCCTCAGACATGCTCTTTGGGGCAAAGTCTCTGAGTAAAGTCTGTGCACAACATATTTAGAATTATCATGGGAGATTTTTTACTCTTTGTATCTACAAGATACAAAGACACTCCCACTGATGACTGCTGTCGTTGTGTCCTTGGGCAAGACACTTAACCCCACTTTGTCCAAAGCCCCCACTGAAAGATCAAGGCTACTCTCACACTCAGAGAGCAGCCGTCCTCCTGTGGACTCACCACCTGCAGAGGGTCAGTGAGGGGCTGGTGCTATGAGACTTGGGTGGCATCTCTGACTGCCACCCCCCTGACCCAGAAATGGATTAAAGGGTAGAAAATGGATGGATGGATGGATGTATCTACAAGGATCATTTTCACACCAGCCATTTGTTCCATTAACACTGCTGAAGCGTTGCGTTGCTGAGTATTTACCATGTCTTACACTTTTTAATATTTCTTTATAGCATGTTAAGTGTTAGAAAATTGAAGGATCAGGAACTAGTTATACAGCATTATTGTGATTCCACACTTGGCTTGTACCTTCAATTTTGTGGTTTACTGTCAAATTTCCTGTAACTATATATTGTGGTAAGTATGGAAGACTTTTTGTGTCATCAGATTATGAATTTTAAATGAGCATGATTTTTTTTCCATAGGAAATGTTTAACTCTGAAAAAGCATTTTTGTCTTTGCATTTCAGTCACACAAAAATCTGTTTATAATTTTCAATGTGATAACAATTTCAAAATGATATTCCCCTTTAAAATACTCATTTTTTATTTTATTTTTTCGAGCCTCAAAGTCAATGCACTGTGGATCTAAATTCATCAATTTAAATTTTTTTATATTTTTGTCTGCAAATTTCAGTCACTGTTTATCAAATTCAATGTGTTTTTAATATCAAAATAAAAAAAATCTTGAACTTTTCAATATCAAACAGAAAAATTCAAGCTTTTTTAAAATTCAAAATCTGGTGACACAAAAAAACTTCCATAGGTAATGTTCAAAATCAGTCCAAGTTACCACGTTCTTGTCGATCTGGTCCAGGGGATGGTCTTTTCCCAGGCGCCGCAGACGAGACTCCAGGGTGATTATTTTGGCATCTTTGTGAACAATCTCTACATGAAGGTCATCACTCTTTTCCTCCAACTCTCTGATCTGCTTACGGTATTTGTCTTTGTCAATCAGACACTGGGAAAACTGGTGCTGCGCTTCATCTCTGGATCGGAAAGCCTAAGAACAGAACTCAACAGTCATTAAAGCAAATTATATGCATATATTTGTATGTGATGTATATGTATAGTATGTATATGAATGTATGTAATGCATATGTAATGCATTTGTAATGTATATGTACAGTATGTATATGTATATGTAGTAGTAGTTTATTTTCTTCGGCCAATATGTACACCAGATCTCAGATCACACGATTGCAAAGATCACAGATATTTTTTACAACAAGAAAAAAAAAAAAGAACCAAAATGTGTCCATAAAGGACCTTGTGCTAAACAATGCCTGACAGAGAGGGGTTTAGGCTGAAGTCAAAACTTATACTGCCTAACCCCTATAACAACGTGACAATACGTCCAAAGATGACAATTTATACAATTGTTACCATGTAACGATGGTAACATGAAGCACAAAATTTAAACTTTGACAAATCAAAATTATTTTATACATGATCAAAATTTTAGATGACACAATATGCAGTTTCTCATAACAGTAACATGTTACACAAAACTCAAACTTCCATAATCAAGAGTTATTAAGCATAATCCAATTCAATTGTCCTATACTTCTCCATAATATTTGACTATACTTTTTTTTAATACTTTTTTTTAAATATGTATGTATGTAATGAATATGTAATGTATATGTACAGTATGTATATGTATGTATGTGATGCATATGTAATGTATATGTACAGTATGTATATGTATGTATGTAATGTATATGTAAAGTATGTATATGTATGTATGTGATGTATATGTATGTATGTGATGTATATGTACAGTATGTATATGTATGTATCTGTGTGTGTTTGCACCTGGTCTCGTTCCTTCTCCACTTCCTCTAACTGAATAGTGATGGTGTCCATTCTGTTGCGGTACATTTCACAATCCTTTTGAAGAGTGGAGCATTTGAGTTCCAGTTCCTCCTTCTCCTCCAGATACTGTCAGCGGACAATCAACACACGTGTAATTATCACATCCGCAAAACTCATTCATGCAAGCTTAAAGACGACCACCAACCCCCCCGACCCCCCCCCCCCCCCCCCCCCCCCCCCCCCCAACCCAGCTTAAAGACGACAAAGAATATTCAGTGTCTTGTTTATAGCCACTAACACTGGTGGCTCTCTCGTTTCTCAGTAAGAATGTTCTATGTTCGATTCCACCCGCAGACAGGGTCTTTCTCGGTGGAGTTTGCACGTTCTCCCTGTGTCTCCGTAGGTTTTCTCTGGGTGCTCCGGTTTCCTCTACCACTAAAACATGTAGAAAAAAAGGTAATATCCTCCAGCTCCAGTCATGACCAAGCGCAACATCAACATCTGACACTGATCCTGACAGAGGCCCTAGAGGCGTATAGAAGGATGGGTCAAATGCAAATAAAACAACAAATTCTAAATAAATAATGTATCATCTTTAAGGTTAGGGTTAAGGTACACTTTATAGTCATCGTGAAGAAATGTGTCCTCTGCATCTGACCCATCCTTCAATACCACTCGGGCGTCTGTCAGGAGCAGTGATGCTTCAGAGCAGCACACAGTGGTCAGGACCAGAGCTGGAAGATTTTACCTATGGTGCAAGGCTTTGGTGGTAGGGGAAACCAGAGCGCCCAGTGGAAACCCAGACACTGGGAGAACATGCAAACATTTTGTGGCAAGCTTTACAATCAATGCTAATCTCAAACCTCAATTTTTTAGGAGAATGTGAAAAATCAAATTGGAAATGAATGTCTCGATATCGTCTCATCACACTTTCCTGAATTTCTGTGCTTAGTTTTACATCTTATTTCCTTCATGAGATTGAACCTTGGATCTTACAAAATGCTCCTCGTACCTGACCTTGTGTGTCGTATGTATACAGCCCTTGCTTATGCTACATTCATAGCCTGTATTGGATTATACAATCTTAAATATATTCAAAACCTACAAACAAATAAATTCCTTTGCGAAGCATTGGTGTGTCGCACCTTGTCCCTTAGCTCCTCCGCCTGCCTCACTTCCTCCTGCAGGTTGTACAGACGGTTCACCAGGTCCTGCCGGTCCTCCAGAGCCTCTAGGCGGTCATGCTCCAGAATGTCCAGGATGGTTTTGTCCGACGTCGGCACAATGTCAGGCTGTACATTGGCCCACAGCAACCACAGAGGCCCACAGAACACAGGAAGTTGCAATATTATTCACAGTAGTTTCGTTAATCTCTCCTTTTCATCTATTTCATTTGGACAAAGCAAAACACTTTGAAATAGCACGAGCAAAAACACTATGCTATTTAATATTCGTGACACTAAATCATATGTTGGATGCAGGATTTGGAGGACCATTATTAGTACTAGTTTATGTTTAACCCATTCAGTTCACTGTAGGATGGTAAGCACTTATACAAATATAGGTCAGAGGCATTAAAGCTGGGGTGCCTAACTTTCAAACCACCAAAGATTTCAACTCAGTAACAAAATGCAACTTGTTCCTCACACTCAAACAGTTCTATCACAAGTTTTCATTCTTTGGCCTCTGTCATAAAACCAGACAGAAACGTGACAAAGAGAGGACCACCCTCACTCAGCCAATCAGCACGCAGCCCTAAGTGTCAAATAGTGTCTCACAGGACTCAATGCAAAAGAAAACATGTTGTCTGTGAGGGTGAATTGAAAACAGGTGGACATCTTTTTTCTTCGGCTTATACTTACAGCTTTTTTGGCTTACAGACTTACATCTTTCACTAAGATCGGGTTCTGTGGGGGTTTTAGTGTCGCTTCAAATCCATTGGTTTTCTAAAGATCCACACTTAAGTATAACCAAACGGCATTTGCTCTGAATGCTGATTGGTCAGAATGCCCATGTGTTACTCTGGTTCAGAGGAAGTAGAATCACTGTGCGCTGGACGAAATGTGTCACTTCTGCAAATGTTTGGGACATCTAGGGTGCTAGCATACACCAATGAGCACAGGTCATTGATATGACTCCACATGGTCCCAGGTAAATGTCTGTATGCTCTATGTACTTGTAAATGTATGATAAGTCTATGTACGCTTACTGTATTGTGAACATTATATATATTAAAATGTGCAAACTCCCAGTGAATGATGAGGATAGTCTTGCACCTGTATGATAGACTGCAGCTCCTGGACTTTGATCTTCAGCATCTCGTTCTCCCTCTCCAGCTCATGGATCTGCTCTCGCTTGGGCCGGTTCTCAATGTCATTCTTCAGCTTTAGACTCTGCCTGCGCTCCATCTTACACTCCTCCTCCAACTTGTTGAGCCGGTGCTTCAGCTGGTCGATCTGCAGGAGCCACAAAAGTGCCAAGAGTCGGGTTGTGAAAGACAGCGAGTGGGCTGCAAGGTTCATCACAATTTAAAGCTGGGGTACCTGACTTTCCAACCTCAGAAAATTGAATTAACCCATCGAACTGACTGACCTGAAAGAGGTTGTTCTATGACATGCTCACACATTAGGATTAGGATTAGGTTAGTATGTATAAAGAGAGAACCAGCCTCGTTCAGCCAATCAGCTCTCAGTGGGCTCTCTCTTACAACTGTGCAAAAGACCTGATCTGTTCACAAACATGAACTTTTACAATAGTCTTTCTGTTGGGCCAAACATCCTGTATTATCTAATAAACAATAACATAGGTATCTAAGCTTTACTACACGGAATGTTTTTATTTATTTTTTTTATCTTTATTTCATTACCATAGACTGTAAACATTAACGGACATAGTCACGCCTATCTCCACTGTTGAAACTAATGTTCCATCACTTTCGCCTTTTGCAAGTAAAATGGCAGCGGGGCTGGAAAAAATGTAAAAACGCATTTGCACATGTGTTAGCCGGTACCATAGATTGTCTATATAAACGGACGTAGTCACGCCTATCTCCGCCGTTCTAAATTGGGCTGTACTGGAGTGATTCAAAAGGGCAGCGGAGGCTGGAAAATGTGAAAGAACGCATCTGCGCATGCGTCAGTCGGCACGAGCCACATTCATTTAAACGAGTGCCTTCAAAAATTCACAGCAAGTAAACTAGACTGGTTTCAAAAAAATTCACTCCCCTCAGCATTGACACACATGTGGAACGGAGCTTGGGCCAAGAGCCAACTTTTGAACTGTAAAGACGTTTTAAGATAAGATAAGATATACTTTATTGATCTCACACAGGAGAAATGTACATGCCATATCTGGCATGGATAGAAACACTCAAGATTGTGCAAAAAGAAAAAAATGTGCAAACATGTTTAATGCAGGATATATTATGTACATTAAAAAGTGGCAATTTTAAAAGCGGCAATCAAGAAACAGTGTCAATAGTAGTGCAGGTTTCGAGAGGTATGCAGATGCTATATGTTAGCATTGGCTAATTCTTATTCCGGGTCCGCCCCCATCGGCCCGGGGTGGTATTGCAACCATGTCAGCACACGTCATTTTGGCCACTTTTGAGCTGGGACCCACCCCCACTGGCCGGTACGAGCCCCCTTCTCCTGATAAGTGCATTGTAAAGTCCATAGCGGCTAAACTAGACTGGTTGTGTGTCAATTCCCTCAGTTCTGACACGTATCTTTTTCACAAAGACAGAAATCCTCTGGTTTTTTTTGTTCCTTGTTTTGTTGTTTATGATTTGAGGATCATAAGAAGACCTTTTTTAGTTCTGCGGCAACATACCAGTACTTACTTGGTAAGTACTGGTATGTGGCAGTTCTAACTTTACCAGTGAGATAAGCTCGACGCGGTGAGTTCTGGCAACCCGGATCACGGACTTTCTGATTGGTAAAACGGTGGAGGGCGGGACATCGAAATGAAAACAAAAACAAGATTAAGGGGCTGCAAAAATAATTTTGAAATTCAAATATCTCGGTTGAACTACTGTTATCGGTTAAAGAAGTATTGGAAAAGAGCATGATTTATTAATGCCTTTTGACACATTATATAGATAGATAGATAGATACTTTATTGATCCCCCGTAGGAGAAATTTAGGTGTCCAGCAGCAGAAGACTCATCCAGGTCTGTTGTACAGACTGACAGTCGAAGGAACAAAGGATCTCTTGAAACGTTCTGTTCGACAGAGCAGTGATATAAGCCTGTTGCTACGATTACTTCTCTGAGCGGCCATAGTGTCATAAAGAGGGAGTCTGGAGTTACCCAGGACGCCCTGCATTAGAGCCCTCATCCTTCTCTCCAGCACAGCTCCCACAGAGTCCACACTTCTCCCCATCACAAAGACATATTTCCTGCCATCCCAACACGCAACCCCAAAGCCACATTTGACTGCTCACATTGAAGGACCCCAGTCTTCTCAGGACGAAAAGTCTGCTCTGACCTTTCTGAAAGACAGCATTGGCCTGAGCTGACCAGTCCAGTCTGTGGTCCAGATGGACCGGCAGATGGGAAGGTCTCTTGCTAAAGTCAATAATCATCTCCTTGGTCTTGGACACATACAGTAGGTCCCATTCCGTTTTGTCGCCTTTCACGCGTGAATCACACGTGAGTCTCGTGTGATTCACGCGTCTTTTATTTTCCCCCTTCCCAGTGACGTTGCAATGACCAAAACAACCACCAGGTGGCACTTGTGAGCAGGGTTACATTGGCCAGTCTCTGGAATAACCCGCAGACATTAAAACTACTGCACACTGAGAAAAGTGTTGCAAGCGCAACTTTGAACCTAAGTACTTGTATTTGCAATTTCGGACTTAAAATTTATTCTTATGGTTTTAATATTAGAAAAATAATTTCCATTTACTAAAACAAAAACAATATACCCACAAATACGTTTTGTGTGTGTATTTAACTAAATTTTGAAAAAATATTGTTGGCAGTGCAGTGCTTCTTAAATCTGACGCTATCAATAAGTGTTCAGACAAAGTAATTTCTACTGGGCGGGAGTTTGCTTCCGGTTCGGACCGTTTCCGCGAGCTTGTTGTTGGTGATGGGCGCTGAGCCAGCCTTGGACACGGTCGTGTGGTTTCCCGTGAGATCCAACTCAAAGTAAGATTTTTTAAATATATGGTGCTTTCTCTGTAAGGTTTGTCGCGTATTTGATCAAATATATACAATCTGTGGTCAAATCGTCGTTTTATTTTCTTGGCAGTTCGTGTCCAAAATTACTTCATGTTAACTGTCTACTCTAGCCCCAAACATGTTGTTAGCATAAAACTGTGCCAGTATAATGGTCCTACAATTTTGTTGTTTAGCAAAGTGATTTGTGTTAAGACTCGTAACATTACCAACTACCCCTTAAATGTTCTGAACCATAATAACAGGCGTAGTTTTCGCAGTTTGGAGCTGCTAGCTTCTAGCTAGCTGTTGCTAACGGTACGCAGCTAACATAAGTAGACCAAAGTCGCTACTGTCCTGCTCTGTCTTGTTGCCGGAGGTGCAAGTGGAAAATACAGTTGGCAACAGAAGCCACGTGACATTTATTAATCTTCTATTATTTTCTACTCTTGGGGACAGTTCATTTCCCGCAGAAGTCCCTAGTTACATTAGCTCAGCGGAGCAACTCTCAAGGAGGAGACGGGTGCTGAGCATGGTGCGGAGGCAGAAAACATGTTTATTGCTATCTGAGATCGCTCTGATTTCCTCGCGGTCAGAAAGTAGCTTGTTTCAGCAGAAAACTAACGTTAAGTTAACAGCTACTGCATGTTGTTAATGTTATGACCCGTCCGCATCAGCATCACTGTATTATATCAAGGCCTGTCTGTTTTAGCCAATGTGCAGCTATATGGTTAGTTATGATAAGTTCAAATACATTCAGAAATCTGCAGCACATTTAAAAAACCCAAACAAAGTATAAGGGATACATTATAAACATGCATTTTTAAAAGAACATACTGAGGGTGACTGCTATAGCCTATTGCAGTCACAAAATTAGAGTGGAAATGTTAAAAATCTAATGTGACTTACATTCGCATTTCATATGAACAACATTTTGGCATGTTAATTTTGAAATAAACGATATTTTGCTGGACAAGTAGGTTTTGTTTCCGGGCAAGTAAAAAATACCTGCCACTTCAAGTACCTCAAAGCACTTAATGTCAAGTCCTGACAAGGTAATACATTCAGCTAAAGACAGGTACATGTTGTGGTATAGCATGTTTTTTGTGGAATCACGTGAAGTAACGCAAAATGCACAAAGCACTTTGTTTGTACTAATCTAATGCATTTTTTATATGTAAAAAGCAGCACCGCCTGTTTAAATGCTTATGATATTTGTCCAATGAAGAGTATTTTTAAGCATGTTTATTAATTTTATTTTATTTTATTTTAGATTTTTCCTTTCACTGCTGCCAATTGATGGAGGAAAGCTACAGCAGGAGGTAAGTGTGATACAAAAAGAACTGTTAATAAATTAAGTGAATGTAATGTACTCGCTAGGGATGCAATAGTTTTTTGGGGGGGGGGCATTATACATTATACATTACACTCACCGCAAGATTTGCGGTGAGTCCTTGGCAACAAGAGAGGAGATTTTCCATCATTTGTCATTATATACGTTTTTATATCTAAATGAACACAATCAGAAATATGAAAACATATTCAAGATAAGAAGTGCTGAATACTTCCTAATTCGTGGTGTTTTTTATTTCTATGTTGTTTCGTAGGATCCAACCGCTGCTATAGAAAAGAGGAGGGAAGTCGTAATCCGAGGCCTAATTGAATACATGGGGGAGAAGCCAGGAGACTTGATTTCAGATCTACAGGTAAAATTTTCCAATCTTTTCTTTTTCAGGGTATAAAAAAAGTACCGTACCTTATGCTGATATGTCTATCATTAAGAGTAGTAGTATCACCAAATCCTCTTCATCCTCTGCATATGCTAAAAGTCAGCATATGCAGATTATTTAAAAAACATTTTGGTCTCATTTGACCATAGAATAATCTACAATCATGTAGAAAAGGTTAAATCATCTACTGGACTGGGTTTTGGTAAAGTTGCGGATGTTTCGCTTTTAGTGACACAAGCTTCTTCAGAGCTCTTAAAGTCATAAAAGAACACTTTTACCCAAACTGGACTAAAAACTAAAAAGACCCAGGTTCCTTCCAGAAGGAGAGAGAACCAAAACTGCCAAAAATTTCTATTCAAATTGTTTTCAATATCACTCAACTTTACCAAAACCCAGTCCTGGCGATGATTTAACCTTTTTATAAGATGGACACTCCCTGGATGAATGAGAGCCTTCACAAACATCTGACCATATGACATTCCCCCAGCCCTCTGGATGGAATGGTCACTGGAAAACTTCAGTTGGACATGAATGAACATGAGCTGGCTAAAGCAGCTGGACCTGT